GGGTGCCAGTCTCTCTCTCACTGGGTGCCAGTCTCTCTCTCACTGGGTGCCAGTCTCTCTCTCACTGGGTGCCAGTCTCTCTCACTGGGTGCCAGTCTCTCTCTCTCTGGGTGCCAGTCTCTCTCTCTCTGGGTGCCAGTCTCTCTCTCACTGGGTGCCAGTCTCTCTCTCACTGGGTGCCAGTCTCTCTCTCTCTGGGTGCCAGTCTCTCTCTCTCTGGGTGCCAGTCTCTCTCTCTCTGGGTGCCAGTCTCTCTCACTGGGTGCCAGTCTCTCTCACTGGGTGCCAGTCTCTCTCTCTCTGGGTGCCAGTCTCTCTCTCACTGGGTGCCAGTCTCTCTCTCTCTGGGTGCCAGTCTCTCTCACTGGGTGCCAGTCTCTCTCTCTCTGGGTGCCAGTCTCTCTCACTGGGTGCCAGTCTCTCTCACTGGGTGCCAGTCTCTCTCTCTGGGTGCCAGTCTCTCTCACTGGGTGCCAGTCTCTCTCATGGGTGCCAGTCTCTCTCTCACTGGGTGCCAGTCTCTCTCTCTCTGGGTGCCAGTCTCTCTCACTGGGTGCCAGTCTCTCTCTCTCTGGGTGCCAGTCTCTCTCACTGGGTGCCAGTCTCTCTCACTGGGTGCCAGTCTCTCTCTCTCTGGGTGCCAGTCTCTCTCTCACTGGGTGCCAGTCTCTCTCTCTCTGGGTGCCAGTCTCTCTATCACTGGGTGCCAGTCCCTCTCTGGGTGCCAGTCTCTCTCACTGGGTGCCAGTCTCTCTCACTGGGTGCCAGTCTCTCTCTCTGGGTGCCAGTCTCTCTCACTGGGTGCCAGTCTCTCTCATGGGTGCCAGTCTCTCTCTCACTGGGTGCCAGTCTCTCTCTCTCTGGGTGCCAGTCTCTCTCACTGGGTGCCAGTCTCTCTCTCTCTGGGTGCCAGTCTCTCTCACTGGGTGCCAGTCTCTCTCACTGGGTGCCAGTCTCTCTCTCTCTGGGTGCCAGTCTCTCTCTCACTGGGTGCCAGTCTCTCTCTCTCTGGGTGCCAGTCTCTCTATCACTGGGTGCCAGTCCCTCTCTGGGTGCCAGTCTCTCTCTCTGGGTGCCAGTCTCTCTCTCACTGGGTGCCAGTCCCTCTCTCTGGGTGCCAGTCTCTCTCTGGGTGCCAGTCCCTCTCTGGGTGCCAGTCCCTCTCTGGGTGCCAGTCTCTCTCTCTGGGTGCCAGTCTCTCTCTCACTGGGTGCCAGTCTCTCTCTCTGGGTGCCAGTCCCTCTCTAGGTGCCAGTCTCTCTCTCTCTGGGTGCCAGTCTCTCTCACTGGGTGCCAGTCTCTCTCACTGGGTGCCAGTCTCTCTCTCTGGGTGCCAGTCTCTCTCACTGGGTGCCAGTCTCTCTCACTGGGTGCCAGTCTCTCTCTCTCTGGGTGCCAGTCTCTCTCTGGGTGCCAGTCTCTCTCACTGGGTGCCAGTCTCTCTCTCTCTCTGGGTGCCAGTCTCTCTCACTGGGTGCCAGTCTCTCTCTCTGGGTGCCAGTCTCTCTCTCTCTGGGTGCCAGTCTCTCTCACTGGGTGCCAGTCTCTCTCACTGGGTGCCAGTCTCTCTCTCACTGGGTGCCAGTCTCTCTCTCTCTGGGTGCCAGTCTCTCTCTGGGTGCCAGTCTCTCTCACTGGGTGCCAGTCTCTCTCTCTCTGGGTGCCAGTCTCTCTCACTGGGTGCCAGTCTCTCTCTCTGGGTGCCAGTCTCTCTCTCTCTGGGTGCCAGTCTCTCTCACTGGGTGCCAGTCTCTCTCCCTTGGTGCCAGTCTCTCTCACTCTGGGTGCCAGTCTCTCTCTCTGGGTGCCAGTCTCTCTCTCTGGGTGCCAGTCTCTCTCTGGGTGCCAGTCTCTCTCACTGGGTGCCAGTCTCTCTCACTGGGTGCCAGTCTCTCTCTCTCTGGGTGCCAGTCTCTCTCTCACTGGGTGCCAGTCTCTCTCTCTCTGGGTGCCAGTCTCTCTCTCACTGGGTGCCAGTCTCTCTCTCTGGGTGCCAGTCTCTCTCTCACTGGGTGCCAGTCTCTCTCACTGGGTGCCAGTCTCTCTCTGGGTGCCAGTCTCTCTCTCACTGGGTGCCTGTCTCTCTCTCTCTGGGTGCCAGTCTCTCACTGGGTGCCAGTCTCTCTCTGGGTGCCAGTCTCTCACTGGGTGCCAGTCTCTCTCTCTGGGTGCCAGTCTCTCTCTCTCTGGGTGCCAGTCTCTCTCTGGGTGCCAGTCTCTCTCACTGGGTGCCAGTCTCTCTCTGGGTGCCAGTCTCTCTCTGGGTGCCAGTCCCTCTCTGGGTGCCAGTCTCTCACTGGGTGCCAGTCTCTCTCTCTCTGGGTGCCAGTCTCTCCCTCTCTCTCTGGGTGCCAGTCTCTCTCTGGGTGCCAGTCTCTCCCTCTCTGGGTGCCAGTCCCTCTCTCACTGGGTGCCAGTCTCTCTCTGGGTGCCAGTCTCTCTCTGGGTGCCAGTCTCTCTCTGGGTGCCAGTCTCCCTCTCTGGGTGCCAGTCCCTCTCTGGGTGCCAGTCCCTCTCTGGGTGCCAGTCTCCCTCTCTCTGGGTGCCAGTCTCTCTCTCTGGGTGCCAGTCCCTCTCTGGGTGCCAGTCCCTCTCTGGGTGCCAGTCCCTCTCTCTGGGTGCCAGTCCTCTCTCTGGGTGCCAGTCCTCTTCTCTGGTGCCAGTCTCTCTCACTGGGTGCCAGTCTCTCTCTCTGGGTGCCAGTCCCTCTCTGGGTGCCAGTCTCCCTCTCTCTGGGTGCCAGTCTCTCTCTCTGGGTGCCAGTCTCTCTCTGGGTGCCAGTCCCTCTCTCTGGGTGCCAGTCTCCCTCTCTCTGGGTGCCAGTCTCTCTCTCTGGGTGCCAGTCCCTCTCTAGGTGCCAGTCTCTCTCTCTCTGGGTGCCAGTCTCTCTATCACTGGGTGCCAGTCCCTCTCTGGGTGCCAGTCTCTCTCTCTGGGTGCCAGTCTCTCTCTCACTGGGTGCCAGTCCCTCTCTCTGGGTGCCAGTCTCTCTCTGGGTGCCAGTCCCTCTCTGGGTGCCAGTCCCTCTCTGGGTGCCAGTCTCTCTCTCTGGGTGCCAGTCTCTCTCTCACTGGGTGCCAGTCTCTCTCTCTGGGTGCCAGTCCCTCTCTAGGTGCCAGTCTCTCTCTCTGGGTGCCAGTCTCTCTCTCTGGGTGCCAGTCTCTCTCTCTGGGTGCCAGTCTCTCTCTCACTGGGTGCCAGTCCCTCTCTCTGGGTGCCAGTCCCTCTCTGGGTGCCAGTCTCTCTCTCACTGGGTGCCAGTCTCTCTCTCTGGGTGCCAGTCTCTCTCTGGGTGCCAGTCCCTCTCTGGGTGCCAGTCCCTCTCTGGGTGCCAGTCTCTCTCTCTGGGTGCCAGTCTCTCTCTCACTGGGTGCCAGTCCCTCTCTCTGGGTGCCAGTCCCTCTCTGGGTGCCAGTCTCTCTCTCACTGGGTGCCAGTCTCTCTCTCTGGGTGCCAGTCTCTCTCTGGGTGCCAGTCCCTCTCTGGGTGCCAGTCCCTCTCTGGGTGTCAGTCCCTCTCTGGGTGCCAGTCCCTCTCTCACTGGGTGCCAGTCTCTCTCTGGGTGCCAGTCTCTCTCTGGGTGCCAGTCCCTCTCTGGGTGTCAGTCCCTCTCTGGGTGCCAGTCCCTCTCTGGGTGTCAGTCCCTCTCTGGGTGCCAGTCCCTCTCTGGGTGCCAGTCCCTCTCTCACTGGGTGCCAGTCTCTCTCTCTGGGTGCCAGTCCCTCTCTGGGTGTCAGTCCCTCTCTGGGTGCCAGTCCCTCTCTGGGTGTCAGTCCCTCTCTGGGTGCCAGTCCCTCTCTCACTGGGTGCCAGTCTCTCTCTGGGTGCCAGTCTCTCTCTGGGTGCCAGTCCCTCTCTGGGTGTCAGTCCCTCTCTGGGTGCCAGTCCCTCTCTGGGTGTCAGTCCCTCTCTGGGTGCCAGTCCCTCTCTGGGTGCCAGTCCCTCTCTCACTGGGTGCCAGTCTCTCTCTCTGGGTGCCAGTCCCTCTCTGGGTGTCAGTCCCTCTCTGGGTGCCAGTCTCTCTCTCTGGGTGCCAGTCCCTCTCTGGGTGCCAGTCTCTCTCTGGGTGCCAGTCTCTCTCTGGGTGTCAGTCCCTCTCTGGGTGCCAGTCCCTCTCTGGGTGTCAGTCCCTCTCTGGGTGCCAGTCCCTCTCTGGGTGCCAGTCCCTCTCTCACTGGGTGCCAGTCTCTCTCTCTGGATGCCAGTCCCTCTCTGGGTGCCAGTCTCTCTCTCTGGGTGCCAGTCTCTCTCTCTCTCTGGGTGCCAGTCTCTCTCTCTCTGGGTGCCAGTCTCTCTCTCTCTCTGGGTGCCAGTCTCTCTCTCTCTGGGTGCCAGTCTCTCTCTCACTGGATGCCAGTCTCTCTCTCTCTCTGGGTGCCAGTCCCTCTCTGGGTGCCAGTCTCTCTCACTGGGTGCCAGTCTCTCTCTCACTGGGTGCCAGTCCCTCTCTGTGGGTGACGGTCTCTCTCTCACTGGGTGCCAGTCTCTCTCTCTGGGTGCCAGTCTCTCTCTGGGTGCCAGTCTCTCTCTCACTGGGTGCCAGTCTCTCTCTCTGGGTGCCTGTCCCTCTCTGGGTGCCAGTCTCTCTCTGGGTGCCAGTCTCTCTCTGGGTGCCAGTCTCTCTCTCACTGGGTGCCAGTCTCTCTCTCTGGGTGCCAGTCTCTCTCTGGGTGCCAGTCTCTCTCTCACTGGGTGCCAGTCCCTCTCTGGGTGCCAGTCTCTCTCACTGGGTGCCAGTCCTCTCTGGGTGCCAGTCTCTCTCTGGGTGCCAGTCTCTCTCTCACTGGGTGCCAGTCCCTCTCTGGGTGCCAGTCCCTCTCTGGGTGCCAGTCTCTCTCTCACTGGGTGCCAGTCCCTCTCTGGGTGCCAGTCTCTCTCTCACTGGGTGCCAGTCCCTCTCTGGGTGCCAGTCTCTCACTGGGTGCCAGTCTCTCACTGTGGGTGACGGTCTCTCTCTCTCTCTCTGTGTGTCCGGAAGTGTGTCTTTCACCTCTGATCACATGACTGAGCTGCGCGCGCACCGGAGGAGATTCCGTTGTTGTTGAGTTCGAGACTCGCGGCCCCGAACCCGAGAGAAAGAAGGTGAGAAACTGAGAGATAGAGAGAGAGAGAGAGAGAAGGTGAGAAACAGAGAGAGAGAGAGGGGGAGAGAGAGAGAAGGTGAGAAACAGAGAGAGAGAGGGAGAGAGAGAGAAGGTGAGAAACAGAGAGATAGAGAGAGAGAGAAGGTGAGAAAAGAGAGAGAGAAGGTGAGAAAAGAGAGAGAGAAGGTGAGAAACTGAGAGAGAGAGAGGGGGAGAGAGAGAGAAGGTGAGAAACAGAGAGAGGGGGAGAGAGAGAGAAGGTGAGAAACAGAGAGAGAGAGGGAGAAGGTGAGAAACAGAGAGAGAGAGCGAGAAGGTGAGAAACAGAGAGAGAGAAAGGAGGCGAGAAACAGAGAGAGAGAAGGTGAGAAACAGAGAGAGAGAGAGAGAGAGAGAAAGAAGGTGAGAAACAGAGAGAGAGAGAGAGAGAGAGAAAGAAGGTGAGAAACAGAGAGAGAGAGAGAGAGAGAAAGAAGGTGAGAAACAGAGAGAGAGAGAGAGAGAAAGAAGGTGAGAAACAGAGAGAGAGAGCGAGAGAGAGAAAGAAGGTGAGAAACAGAGAGAGAGAGCGAGAGAAAGAAGGTGAGAAACAGAGAGAGAGCGAGAGAGAGAAAGAAGGTGAGAAACAGAGAGAGAGAAGGTGAGAAACAGAGAGAGAGAAAGAAGGTGAGAAACAGAGAGAGAGAGAGAGAGAGAGAAAGAAGGTGAGAAACAGAGAGAGAGAAAGTTGAGAAACTGGGTGAGAGAGAGAAGGTGAGAAACTAAGAGAGAGAGAGAGAGAGAAAGAAGGTAAGAAACAGAGAAAGAAGATGAGAAATAGAGAGAGTTGCAGTTTTGCTGCAACTGTATGTATATGGCTTTGGTGAGACCGCACCTGGAGTATTGTGTGCAGTTTTGGTCCTTATTTAAAAAAGGACATACTCGCCCTCGAGGGGGTGCAGCGCAGATTCACTCGGTTAGTTCCTGGGATGAGGGGACTGACCTATGAGGACAGGGCTGTATTCTCCAGAGTACAGAAGTATGAGGGGAGATCTTATTGAAACATATAAGATTCTTAAAGGGCTGATAAAGTAGACACTGAGGGACTGTTTCCCCGGTAGGACAATCTATAAACCTACCAAGAATAGAGGGGAACCAAGAAGACAGTGTTAGTGAGCAACTTGGGGGAATTAATATTAGTAAAGAAATGGTTTTAGGTAAATTGTCAGGTCTTAAATCTGATAAATCCCCTGGACCTGATGGCCTGTATCCTAGCGTTTTAAAAGAGGTGGCTACTGAGATAGTGGATGGCTTGTCCTTGATCTTCCAAAATTCTCTGGATTCTGGAACAGTTCCCATTAATTGGAAGATTGCAAACATAACACCACTATTTAAGAAGGGTGGGAGAGAAAAGATGGGGAACTATAGACCAGTTAGTCTGACATCAATGGTAGGGAAAATTCTTGAGTCCTTAATTAAGGATGTCGTTGTGGGATTCCTGGAAGACCATAACAAGATTAGACAGAGTCAACATGGCTTTACGAAAGGGAAGTCATGCTTAACTAATCTTTTAGAGTTTTTTGAAGATGTATCTAGCAGGTTAGATAGGGGGGAACCAGCAGATGTAGTATATTTAGATTTTAAAAAGGCATTTGACAAAATGCCACACAAAAGGCTATTGCACAAGGTTAAGGCCCACGGATTAATGGGAACATATTAGCATGGATTGAAGAGTAGCTAACGGGTAGAAAACAAGAGAGTAGGGATAAATGGGTCATTCTCGAATTGGCAGATGTGACTAGTGGAGTGCCACAAGGATCAGTGCTTGGGCCTCAGCTATTTACAATTTACATCAATGATCTAGACAAGGACATTGAATGTAACGTATCTGAATTCGGGGATGACACTAAACTCGGTGGGAGAGTAAGCTCTGAGGATGATGCAAAAAGATTGCAACGGGATATAGATAGGTGAGGGAAGTGGGCAAGTAGGTGGCAGATGGAATTTAATGTGGGGAAGTGTGAAGTTATTCACCTAGGTAGAAAAAATAGAAAAACAGATTATTTTCTAGAGGGGGAGAGATTAGATAGTGTTAGTGTTCAGAGGGATTTGGGTGTCCTTGTACACCAGTCTCAAAAAGTTGGTTTGCAGGTGCAGTAGCAACTAAGAAGGCGAACGGCATGTTAGTGTTCATTGCAAAAGGCTTAGATTACAAAAGTAGGGAAGTCTTGCTGCAACTGTATATGGCCTTGGTGAGACCGCACCTAGAGTATTGGGTGCAGTTTTTGTCGTCTTATTTAAAAAAGGACATACTTGCCCTCGAGGGGGTGCAGCGTAGATTCACTCAGTTAGTTCCTGGGATGAGGGGACTGACCTATGAGGATAGGCTGAATAAACTGGGGCTATATTCTCTAGAATACAGAAGAATTAGGGGGGATCTTATTGAAACATATAAGTTTCTTAAAGGGTTGGATAAAGTAGACACTGAGGAACTCTTTCCCCTGGTAGGAGAATCTATAACCAGGGGTCACAGTCTTAAAATTAAGGGTCAGCCTTTTAGAACAGAGTTGAGGAAACATTTCTTCACTCAGAGGGTAGTGAATTTATGGAACTCACTCCCCCAGAAGGCTGTAGATGCTCATTCCTTGAACATCTTCAAGGCTGAGACTGATAGATTTTTTAAAAATAGAGGGATTAGGGGATATGGGGATAGGGCAGGTAATTAGAGTTAGGTCTGAAGATCAGCCATGAACAGAGCGAGAGAGAGAAAGGTGAGAAATCGAGAGAGGGAGAGATAGAGGGTGAGAAACTGAGAGAGAGAGGGAGGGAAACCGAGAGAGAGAGAAAAAAGGTGAGAAACAGAGAGAGCGAAAGAGGGTGAGCACCTGAGAGAGAGAAAGAAGGTGAGAAACAGAGAGAAAGAAAGAAGATGAGGAACAGAGAGGGAGAGAGAGAGAGAAAGATGGTGAGAAACTGAGAGAGAAAGAGGGTGAGGAGCAGAGAGAGAAAGAGGGTGAGGAGCAGAGAGAAAGAGGGTGAGAAACGGAGAGAAAGAGGGTGAGAAACTCAGAGGGGGTGAGAAACAGAGAGAAAGGGTGAGAGTGAGAAACAGAGAAAGGGTGAGAGTGAGAAACAGAGAGAGTGTGAGAGAGAAACAGGGTTCTTGTGTGAGAGAGAGAGATCATGTGTGGGGGGGTGGGGGAATGAGAGAGTTTGTGTGAAGAGAGAGAGTGTGGAGAGAGAGAGAGAGTGTGGAGAGAAAGAATGTGTGTGTGAAAGAGAGTGTGAGAGAGAAAGGGGTTGAGAGACAGAGAATGGGGATGGGAGGGACTGGGGGGTTGAGAGAGAGAGAGACTACTGATTAAGTTACTGAGAATTGCAGATAGATACTGAGAAATGAACTTACTCTTCCTCCCCGGTTTAATTCAGCTTTGTATTGCTGGGAAAAGTATCCTCCAATTTTTATTTATTTTTAATGTGGAAAAGAACAGGAAAAGAATTACAATAGCAGTGAGATGGGGTGGAGCGGAGGGATGACTGTGATTTGTGTTGTGGATTATTTCTCGATGGATACTAATGACGTCATGATATTCCTTTTACAAACAATACAATAATGCCAAAGTTCATCTTAGATTGCAGAGTGAGACACAGGCACAGTGGCAATAAATGCTTATGAGAAGAGATTTAGATGAGGCGAGGGGGTTTGGGTCTATATGTCTAGATATTCAATTTATTCTATACAGGATACTGGTGGTGATTCTCACCTGCTGTTTTAAATCCTAGGCTTCCAGATTTAGCTTTGGTTACTAGAGAACACAATGTCACCGAGGTTATGGCTGCTGGGCATCATTGGAATTCTTATTGGATTGAGTTTGGGAGCCTGGGGTCAAACTACATTGAGTCCTCCAGTGAACGGTAAGAACTCTTGAATTCTATTATTTAAAAAAAACTCTAGCCTCAAATGCACAGTATACATAAATAATAATCCTTGCGTTTGATATAACGCCTTATCACGTCTTCAAGATGTCTCAAAACACTTCACACATATGCACGAGGTAATCAATACAGAACCCTTTGCTCGAAAATGCCTCCTGATTGTTCATTGTACCTGTTAGCTTGTCTCCGGGTTCCCAACCCAAAACTGGACCTTTGCTTGATCTCAAGTATTTTGTGTAGAAACGTGGCATGTTTTTTGATGCACTGATCTCTATTGGAATAATTTGTTTGAATCCAGTGAACAATGTTTATGGCTGCAGATAGTATGGGAATGTAACTCTTCTCTCAGTCTCTGTTGAAAGATTTGAGTTGTATTTTTTGAGGTTTTGTTTAAAAATGCAAATGTTCTAACTGGTTTGGATTGGATCTCTCCTGCTAACGATGCTGTGCTGGCCTCACTAAAGGGAAAACTCAGGCCCGGATTCTGTATTATAATAATAATAATAATCTTAGCATTTGATACAGTGCCTTATCACATCGTTGAGAAGTCTCAAAGCGCTGATCCATATGCTGATCACTGTGGAGTCCTGTAGAGTATTAGAGCACTCGCATCGCAAGCGAGAGGACCTGGGTTTAATTCCCGAGCAGGGTGAAACATTAGGATAATTTCTTTACTCCACACGCTTCTGTTTAACTAGCAGTACGTAGAAACCCGGGTGTTATTCGATTGGCGGATCGCTTTTCTCGGGGCAATAATCCGTTTAAAAAAAATTTAGTCACTCAATCCACAACTGTTGCACACAAAATACACAGTCTATTCACTTTAAAATATATTCTGTGAAGCGCTTTGAGACACCTGGAAGACGTGATTAAGCACTATATTGCAAGAAAAAGGTCAAGAGAAAAAGGTCAAGCGAAAAAGTATCGACGAACACACTTTTGAGAATTTTGAGCGGAATGTAAAGAAACCACAGAAAGTGCCTGATAAGTCATGATGGGACGAGGGGTTCTGCAGGTTGTGGTTTTGAAAGAATTTCTTTTTGCATGTTTTTTTACGCCCTCCCTATCTATTCCATATTTTTACCCCAGGGGGCCTCAGCGAAGTTAAGGAATGGGGCACTCGTGCAGCATAATAGTTAGCGCACTCGCCTCACAAGCAAGAGGATCCAGGTTTGAATTCTGGGCGGGGCGAAACCTTAGGCAAGTTTCCTTACTCCACACTCCCCTGTTTACCTAGCGGTATAATAGGAACCCAGATGTTAGTTGATTGATGGATCGCTTTTCCAGGAATAATAAACCCTTCAAAAAAAAAATTTGAATTAATAATTTGGTCACTCAATCCATGACTGTTTGTGGGACACTGCTGTGTGCAATTGACTGCCACGTTTTGTCCACAAAGTATACAATCAATTCACTTTACAATATATTTTGTGAAGCGCTTTGAGACATCTCAAAGACGTGATAAGGCGCTATATCAAATGCAAGGATTATTATCACTAGTGATGCAGACTATCTATACTATAGAAATAATAACAACTTGGATTTATATAGTGCCCTCCATGCTGGACGGAATCTAAGAGCGCTTCACAATAACGGATCCTGGGGCCGAGCCAGGGGGAGGGGGAAGAAGGTGACCAAAGGTGTGGTTGAAAAGAAAGGTCTTTAGCGGAGTTCTGAAAGTGGGAAGAGAGGGGGCGAAGTGAAGGGTGTGAGGAAGGGAGTTCCAGAGCCTCGGGGTGTAGTGGCTCAAGGCACGGCCGCTGATGATAGAGCGGAGGTTTCGGGGGACAATCTTTGCATTTGATATAGTGCCTTTTCATGCTTGTTGAAAATGACTCACAGGATTTTACTGTCAAGTGTAGTATAGGCGAACCGGGCAGACAATGTACACACAGCAGGAGCAACCAACTTTGGTGCCCCATCCGTGCATGGCTGAGATCCACTTGGATTAAAATTTGAACTTTTTAAAAAAATTCAATGTAGTTTCATGAACAAAAATATAACAAACGAAAGCAACAAAAGCCAAGAATTAAACATTATAGCTGGGGAGACCGTCGAGGAGGTGTTTGAGTAGTGATGTGTGACTCCATCCCTGCTAGCCTCTTCTAATGTATAATTACACCCAAAATGTTATCTATCTGTCAAATTCTGATTGATCTTTGCGCGTTTGCAACATTCTCTTTTTACTTCGGCCTTTTAAGTGTCTGAGTTTCAATTTCTGCCTTTTATATTATTGTTTTATTATATCAGTGCAGCCTCTGACAATCTGATTTTTTTTGGTCAGCCATGTGTTGTGAAATGTATGGAAACCCATCACCATGCTTAAGAGTATTCAAAATCAGTCAGAGTTCCTCATACGTATGTCACCAAACAAATGAAATGTGTACTCTCTCCTCAGAGAGACATGCCCTGCTTACCTAATTCCAGATTGTATTATTCACAAATTGGCAAGAGCCAAGGCGTGGGTACCCAGAGTGTGTATTGGATTACTGCTGGAGTTTAACAACTAAAACTGTGTATAGTTTACCATCGAAAGCACGTATGGCAAGCTACTTGCTGCTTTGTTCAGTAAGGACCACCCTATCCATTAGCACTTTGGCCTGCAGGGTTAACGGAGCTAAGTGGGAAGAACACATTCAGCCCCTCCAAGGTCTGCTGATAATCATCAGCAGTGTCTTGCAGTACTCTTAGAGGACCCGCATGGCTCAGGAATAAAATATATTAGAACTTGGTAGATCTTTAATCCCAATACCCCACCCTTTTGGCATAATGGCTAATATCTTTATTACTCAAGTACCATTCATCTACAAAATACACAGGCACTACACCTTACTGAAGATCCTGTGAAGCACTCTGATACGTTTCAAAAAGTTTCGATGACATGATAAGGTGCTATTATCAGATGCAATCATTATAATGTGGAGTCCTGTAGCTCAGTGGTTAGAGCCCTCGCTTTGCAAGTGAAAGACCTGAGTTCAATTCCAGGCAGAGGGCGAAACCTTGGGCAAGTTTCCTTACTCCACACAGAGCCTAATAATAATCCCTCCAAAACCAAACAATAATAAATTGGTAATTTTCAATCTACGACTGTTTGTGGGACATTGCTGTGTGCAATTGGCTTCCGCGTTCGCCCACAAATATACAGTCAATTCACTTCACAGTATATTCTGTGAAGCGCTTCAGGACATCTAGAAGACGTGAAAAGCACTATATCAAATGCAAGTATTATTATTATAATCAGTTCATCTTTCTTTTAAAAATCCCTATAATTCTACCTCTGCAGCTTTCTTGAGCAGAGCTTTCTAATCCTGTCAACCCTCTGAGTGAAGAAAAGCTTCCTAAGCTGCAAATTTACTTTTGTTAGATTTGTTTGTGAAGGGATTTTTAGCTGTGGGTAACCCTAGATTCATAGATGGCATACAGGAGCAAGACTTAGCATCTAGCCATTAGAAGAGTGGAACAACATAACATAAGAACATAAGAAATGCTAGACGAAAAAAGACCAAGGTCCATCTAATTTGCCTTCCACCTTCCTGGCGGTCGCATGCATATATGTCCCGAACTACCTATATACTATATCCCATATAGTTATTTCCTAAACGAAAACCATCTAAACACTGTTAGAAAGAATCAACACTTCCTGCTTCAACTGTCTCCCTGGGGAGCCTTTTCAATGACAACAACAATGACTTGCATTTATCTAGCACCCCTCACACAGTGTAGCATCTCAGCACGCTTAAATGGCACTAGTGAAGATACCATTTGGGCTAAAAGATGCTGGCCTATCACTTCTGACTAGTTAAATGTGTGTATTAACTCAGAAAGGATCTCCGTCCTCCCATAATAACAACTCTGGGAAGTGCTAACTCATCCACTTTAATGCACTGTCTCTGCTTACACTGATTCTGGCTGCAATTCTAATAAACAAATTTGCTTCCCTGTCTTCGATGGCACCAGATGTTGTTTCCTCTTCTCCTTCCATTCCCCAACTTTATTGCCTTGGTCAGTACACGAGCATGATAAAGTGAGATGATCTCAACACTGGGGGTGGAGGAATGATTCAGACCTCAATATGGAGGGCCTCCTGGGAGAGTGTACTAATTGTGTCTCTGGGAGAAGCACATTTTTGAGTTTGACGTTCTTTATGTTATTGTTTTTAGATAAATACCAACCTACTTATTCTCATGACTCTTTAACATTCCGCTGCTGGATCTGCAAAATACATTGTCTCCTTTGTATGTAATGTGTTGGCACTCCTTTAGCCTGCGGTCCACCCTGCTCTGACTGATGAGACTTCTTTGCTGGAATCTGCAATTATCTGTCTCTGACCTCAACTGTTGTGTGATCGAGTCAGCTAGTCTTCTGAAACTCATCAAAACCTCAATTGGTAACTTTTATTTCCCAATTAACATTGATGCATACATTGAAGCTGTAATAAGAGTTCAAGTACAGAACAGTTCCCAAAACTGTTTTTGCCAGTTTTATTCCAACAGAACAAATGGTTTTATTCCTACAGGAGAAACACTAATTAGCTTCAAACAAAGTATTTCTCATGCAGCAATATCTTTGAAGGCATAATCTTCGGTTGTTTCAAAACACTCTTATCCTCATTCAATAGTCTCAAAAGCACTTTGTATGTAAATTTTTCATCACACATGAAATTGTAATGACATCTTGATTGAGAAAACATGAGAGCATTACTACAAACATATTTGTATAGTCAGTGTATACAGTAGTTCTTTAAATATTACAATATCTTGTTATAAACTCTAAACTTTAGTTGCATGTAAACTATCTTTCATATAACTTTCCAGTTTGAACATTCATGCGCCTAACCCATCTTTCCTCAACTATTTCCATCAGTCTCTCATTCTATCAGTGTTTATTGTTCACAGATTCTTATGTTAATAATTGTGGTCTCAATGGTCCAGTTACTGAGACAGAGGGGTCCGCAGTACTCCAGGGCACTGCTGATAACAGCACAGCCAGGCTGGCTGATCAGCAGGACGTGGAAGGGCAGACCAGTTACTGGGCCCAGGCACTCTTCCCACTGAGCTCCCGTTAGTCCTGTAAGCCAAAGCCCTGATTGGTAGGGTGGTCCAAGCTGGACAAGCAACAGGAAAGCTTGCCAGGCAGCGCTCTCGGTGGCAACCTGTGCGGTTTTAGTTGATTAGACTCCAGCAGCACCCCAATGCACACTCTTGTGTCCCCAAGCCTTGGCTCTTGCCGACCTGCACCTAATACTTTCTGGGAGCAGGGTGCATCCCTCCAGGGAGAAAGTGCGCTTTCCGTTCCAACAAATGTCTCTAGAATATTGGTGGTATTCACGGAACTCTGTTTGGTTTGGATACTCGTAAACATGGTGATGGGTTCCACATTGGTTTCCAAAAAACAACACTTTGAGAAGAATTTCTCCTCCCCAATCGTAATTTTATCCATCACACTCATGATTCTTTGGAACAATCTTCTAATAATCTAGGTTTTAGTAACCACTCCTATCTTTGTATCTGCCTTTTCTGCATGCTTACTCCAACCTTGAGTGTGAATTAACCAGACCAATAATACATGCCAGATGAACATACCTCTATATTTAATTGTAGATTTCCACTTTTTAAATGTTTGTATTTCTAACCTAACAATTTCATAAGTATTCATTCAATATTTCAAGGTTACAAGGAATTCTTCCCTCTAAATCTGTTAGAACTATCTTTGCAGCTTAACTCGTAATCCAGAGGTAGCATTCTAAATCAGTGGCTACAGAACCTGTATCCCCAGAACATTCCTGTAAACCTTTTTTTTCTCTTCTCTGTCTCTTTCATTTTCTTTCAAGTTCTGGCATATGAGACTGCACTGGATCAGTATGTGAGTTCTTCTCATCATGCCTCTAGTACTTTTTTTCTGGGACTCAGGTATGTGTAATAATCTTACCTGAATTAGCTTTAGTCCAGTATGGGCATCGTTGCTGCATTTCCCATAATGAGGCACTAAAACATGCATTTGCTTGACCTAGACTCCCGGCATCCATTCTGGCTCAACTTTTGTGGTACCAGTGGCTGCTGGTAGCCGCGATTTGATGAAAGCAGGTCATGTTTCCGTGCCCAACCTTGGAAATGAGACAGTAGTGGAAATCTACTTGTGCCGTGTTCTCTTTTTGTTTAAGATTTTGCTTTTTTAAAATAACCTTGATGTGGGGTATATTTCATATTGAATATTCTACAGTGTTTGTTGTAGTGATGGAATTTTTTTTCTTTTTCTTTGAGCATCTGATTCAGTTCCATTGTTGGGTTTTATGGTTGCAGCGATTCATGTGATACACCACAAAAGAGCATGTTAAATTATGGAGCATTAGGTACACATTCATTGTTAGTCTTTGCCTGTTAGTACCTGAGAAAAAACAGACTTTTCCAGTGGACATGGAGAGAAAGTGAAGCAAAATATAGAATGCACATAAAGAGTGGTTACCGAGCTAAGTACCAGGTTTGGATGGGGGGTGCGCAGGGTAACTAATATGGGATTTGGGGCGAGGGGATGGTGACTAACACAGGATGTGTTTCAGTTTGAACAGCAGAGATTGTTAGTGGTTTAGTCCTCAGAGGTGCAACCTACTGTTTTGAAAGTAGTAGTTAAAATGTGTCTTCTTTTTCAGTTTGCTCTGACCCTTCTAACAACAATTGTGAGCAATGCCTGCAGCGTGTTTCGGTGAGTAGCAGACAGGCAGCTTCAGTGGTGACTTCCCCACTTTACCTGCTAGGTGTGATATTGTGTTGCCTGGGTGAATATAATGCTGTACATAAGAAAAAGTTCCCTCTGTGTGACGGATTAGAGTGCTAACCTGTAAATGTTGAGTAATGTTTATTTTGCTGGGGACAGTTTACCATAGATCATTTGGGATTATGTATTTTGTTCAATCAGCATTGTTCTGGGATTGCCCATTGTTTATAATAATAATAATCCTTGCATTTGACATAGCACCTTATCACATTTTTGAGACGCCTCAAAGCGCTTCACAGAACATACTGTAATGTGAATTGATTGTATATTTTGTGGGTGAAACAATGAATGTGAATACACATAATAGATGTGAATAAAAATAGATGTGAATACACAGTTAAATTAAAGCCTTGAATGCTGGAAAACTAATCGGCATCCAGAACAGGAAAGAGTGCTTTCTGTGTTGCTGTTTGTTCTTCTGGGTGCTTCCTGTGCTTGAAAAGCTAGCTCCATGCAGAGATATGAAAATATCTAGCTCTCAGCCTTTTTTAAAAAAAATGTAAGAGACGAAGTCCTGTATTCCCATATTATCTTCCCCTTTTTAAAAAGTGTTGCTTTTTTGCAGTAATATACTTCAGTGACGCCTATAAACCCAATCGAAAAGGATTCATTTTGTTCATCTCAACAAACTGCAGTCCTGTTTCTGAACTTTGCTCCTTAACTAGGAAACAAGTATTGAACATTCAAACTGCTCCGGGTGGTGTAGCATGTGGAGAGTTTTGTTTTGCTGTGCTATGGAGTGGAAGGACCTGGGTCAATTACTCACAGGGCAAATTTGTGATCTCAGTTGTGCAGTCCTGTGAAGGCTGAATATCTCTTAGGGGAGAAAGTGCCAATCACCCTAAGGTTTGTTTAGACACTTTCAAGTGACTGCTACAAAGTGGAATTGGCTGATGCTTACATATAGGTTTAGTTAGCCTCCAATTGGGAAAATAATTTACAAAATCCAGTGATTTCTCCATTATCCAAGCATTATCAAGAAGAAAGTTAATAAAGATTCCCTTAGCAACTACACTGTCACCAATGAATAGTTGTAGATGGTAACCTGAACTGTGTGTTTTTTAAGATGTACAAATAAAAATATACCTGTTCAGTTGGATCAAATTTAACAAAATTTCCCTTTGTGCAGTGGCTTCTCAATGCCTCTCAAGTTCACTAAATGACACTTAACTAAATATTCCTATAATCAGATCCACTTCTGAATTCTTGGCCTTGACGTTATGTGTGCTTTGTCTGTCCAAAAATTACATTTTCCATCAGTTTCAATAGTTTGTAGTTGCTTGCTGAAATTCTCTTTGCTCACATGGTTATAAACAAAACATATTCAGTACTCAGTGGCTTAAGTAGTTGAACAGTAAGTTAATTCAATTTCATGGACTGTTCATGCATTGAGCCTCTAATGGACTTGTGTCTGCAGCAGCACTTGCTGTTTCTTGTGTGTATTTGTAGCGGCGCTGCAGCTGGTGTTAAAGTTGGGTAGTATTTTATAAAATCCATACCAACGGTGTTCAAAGCAAATAGTCATTCTACAGAATGTGATTGCACAGGAAATAGTCTTATTGTGTCTGAACTAAAGCCAGTCAGTCAGGTGCAGGAAGCATTCATATTTTATTTTTAGATCTGGTCCTGTTCAGCAGGTTCATTAGAATTGTTTTAAACAGATTCTGTGGGTTCCCGTTGTCTGCTTTGAGGAACCAGACAAGCTAAACGTTCCTCTTTCACAATTTTAAAAATCTTGCTTGTCCCCAGGGTGGTTTTTGAGATTTCATAAAACAACTATTATTCATGTTGTTATTCAATAAAGTTATTCAATAAAGTGTTGAACTTCAATAAAGTCTTGGAGTCATAGCTGGAGGAAGAGAAGTAGATTTGGGTGTCATCCGAGTACTTGTGGAAGTTGACCCCATGTCTGCAGATGACATCGCCGAGACAGAGCATGTAAATAATGAAAAGAAGGCGGCCAAGAATGGAGCCTTGATGTACCCCGCAGGTGACTAGGTTGGGGCGAGAGGAAAAAACATTGGCTGAGATGCAGTGCTGAGGGTTGGTTAGATAGGAGCAAGCAATACAAAATGCATGTGCCATTAGCAATTCAACAAGCTGCCTGGCGCACAGAAAGCCAAAATGGCCGACTCCGGGCACCCAACACTTTGGAAGTCGGCCATTTTGGTTTCCCACATGTCAGCTGCCTTTTTGAAGTACTAATGGAGCTGTCTGTCTTCATGCAAGTGCAGGGAAAGCATTAGTCAGTGATTGTGCTCCATTATAGTTCTGGTTGATATTTTATGGATCTCCCCCTCCCCCCCCCCCACTACTGTTCCACTGTATATATTTTCAATCTTTCTGATTCTCTCTTTTTGTTTAAAATATTACCAATGGGAGCTCGTGCCAATTTTAGTGCCCGGAGTAAACAGCAAAGATTGAAGGTTTGTATTCTATGACAAAAACCTAGCTTTAGAGTTAAAGTTAATGAACTTGGGGCTGGTAGCAAATCAAACGTGCTGTTGATACACAAGTGTTCTAATGTTGTCATTATGATTATTATTATAACTAGGATGCTCTTTATTTGTTGTAGTGTCTGTGGTGCAATACCAACAAGAAATGTGTTGAATACCCAGTGAGGAAAATCCTGCCACCTAGTTCCTTGTGCAAACTGTCTGCTGCACGATGGGGAGTTTGCTGGGGTAAGCAATGTGAAATGTTGCGAAATCGGATAGATGATGTAATGACGTGTCATTTCAAATCATGTTTTTACAGTAATAGCAACTTATCATGTCCAAATATCTCCCAAGTGCTTTACAGCAATTGCTGTTATGTGTAGTGAATTGTTCTGTAGGCAGTGTTTCTGCAGACAGCAAAAGAAACTGACTGAAATTGAACAGTGTAAAAACTAAACTTGTTTGAAGTAGAATTCAGAAAAGCAGGGGTTCATGAGATGTTGGGAACAGAATGGTTAATTTGTAGTTTTGAAAAGAATTTTTAACTATGTCACTGCTTCTCTGACACAGATTTGTTGGTCAAAGAGGGATAATCAAACCTAGTGACAGAATATTTTTTAGTTGGAATTACAGGGTTCATCTAAAAAAAAGGCCTTGCTTTAGAAATTGAGTGCTATGTATTCAAGATCCACATTGGGACTTCAGCTCATACTCTACTGTCACCCCGGTGCAGTACTGGGGGACTGCCTCATTGTTGGAGGTTTTGACAAGATGTTAAACTAAGCTTTGTTTGCCTGATTTAGGTTGGCTTTAAACACACCATTCACTATTCACAAAAATAAGGGAGTTTATCCTGCTGTCTTGGCCAACAGTCTTCCAGATAAATTGATCATTTAGCTTGTGGGACCTTGCTGTCAAAATGGTTGCTCCGTTTGCCAAAGCAATTCCCTTTGTTGAGAAGTTTTGATGCGATTGTATACTAAAAATGCAATTTGGGGAAGGTTCTGATTTAGGATCTCAAATATATATGCTGCTTGCACAAAAAATTCTAGAATATTGCTTATATTTTAAGCAATAATAATGTGAACTATCTTGAAAATTAAAAGTCTTCTAATTTTGCACATTGCTGCTTTTTTGCAGTGAACTTCGAGGCTTTGATCATCGCCATGTCAGTAGTTGGGGGGATCATCCTCCTGTCTCTGTGTGTATGCTGTTACTGCTGCTGCAGAACCAAAAAGAGAATGCTGTAAGTGATTTAGTCTTCTACCGATTTGCCTCAAAGCCTAATAACCTAGCAGCACTGTGCATGTACAGTGTCTTCCTTTATAAGGAAGGAAGGGTACTAGCTCACTGGAGTAATTATTCCCCTATTGTTGGCCAATTAAGACACAGCATTTCAGATACTGTTAAGTGGCTTACAGTCTGCACTGGCCATCCCTGCTGACCGGGGAGGATTGTGTAGGCTCGCCTGGTCTATCGTACCGACTGGAGAGGAAGTGAATTGTATTGTTCCATTGTGGTGCCAGGAAACTGTGCTTGTGTTAATAGCATTTGATGAAGTGCAAACACGCTGCAACGTTAGCTTACAGTGTAAGTGTGGTAGAAAACCATGTTGAAATCTGTTATAATAAAAAGGGAAGTTGAATGAGAAGTCCATTGATGATTCAAATGAGGAACTTACCCTTTCAATACAAGAATGAGAAACTAGCTTTTCAAATTTTGTTGAATTAAAAAGTAGTTTTAAAGGTTTTTCTCTTGATTTCTTTTTGCATATTTAGACCTGATCCAAGAGATGAGAAACTAGAAAGAGAAAAAGAACAGAGGAAAATGCGGCAAGAGGAAAGGTATGGGACTTATAAACACTGAAGTGGCTTTAGTTCAGGTATTGTCTAGTTACAAAATCACAAAAAAGGCCATTTATCCCCATTTGATTCCATTCTCCGAGAATCAGCCCTACCCTCCTTAAATTAGTCCAGTATTCTTGCCTCTATCACTTTTCCTGATAACTCTTTGCACCTGTTGATTAAACTTATGTATTGAGTTCATTGATTTTGTGTTAACAGGAGAAATGAAATGAAAGTCAGGCATGACGAGATAAGGAAGAAATATGGTGAGAAAACACATTTTGAAATTTCTCTTGCGTTTAATTTGAAGGACAGAGAGACCTATCAATCTTTACTTACGCAGAAAAGTTGTTGAGTGGTGCCACCCGAATAATAGTAAAACTTGGTAGGAACCAGGCAGTCAATACCATATCTTGTTTGCATTTTTTTAAAATAATTACTTTTGTGACCACTTTTCACCCATTGTGAAGATGCTCGTTCTGCTGAGTTACAGCTGCAGGGATACTGCGGACCTGTAGTACCTTGTACCAAGTGGTTATTCTTCATGTGTAATAAGTCATTTGCCACCCATGCGACATTGGGTAGCATAGGTGTCAAGCCAACCAAATCATGTCCTTAGCTGATGTCCATGCACTCGCAACAGGGTCACTCGTTAACATTTGGGAATAGGAACCCCTTAATCATAGAATTATACAGCACAGAAGGAGGCCATTCGGCCCATTGTGTCTGTGTTGGCTCTTTGAAAAGAGCTATCCAAATCAATCCCATTACCCCACTCTCTCCCTATAGCCCTGCAAATATAGCTCTCCCCAAATAATTATCTACTTCTCTCTTGAAAGTTGTTATTGAATCGGCTTCCACCACCATTTCAGGCAATGGATTCCAGATCCGAACTCTCTGTGTGAAAAAATTTCTCCTCACCTCCCCTCTGTTTCTTTTAACAACTATTTTAAATCGATGTCCTTGGGTTACCGACCCACCCACCAGTGGGAATAGTTTCTTCTTGTTCACCCTGTCAAATCCCCTCATAATTTTGAAAACTTCTATTAAGCCTCCTCTTAACCTTCTCCGCTCCAAGGAGAATAATCCGAGCTTCTCTCGCCTCTCCTGATAACTGAAGTCCCTCATTCCTGGTACCATCCTGGTAAATCTCCATTGCACCCCCTCTAATGCCTTGACATTGTTCCTAAAGTGTGGTGCCCAGAACTGAACACAGTCTCTCGCTGAGGCCTAACCAGTGTTTTATAAAGGTTCATCATAACTTCCTGACTTTTGTATTCTATGCTCCTATTTATAAAGCCTAATATCCCATATGCATTTTTTAACAGCTTTATCTACCTATTCTGCCACCTTCAAAGATTTACTTATATGAACCCCACAGGTCTCTCTGTTCCTTCACCCCCTTAAAATTGTACCATCAGCGAATGTCGCCTCTCCTCATTCTTCCTCCCAAAATGCATCACTTCACATTTCTCCACATTAAACTTCATCTGCCACGTGTCTGCCCATGTTACCAGTCTGTCTATGTCCTCTTGCAGTCTGGTACTATCCTCCTCACTGTTTTCTTTTCCTAGGTTAGTATCAACTGGAAATTATAATCCCTATATCCAAGTCCAGGTCATTTATATAGATCAAAAACAGCAGTGGTCCCAATACTGACCCCTGGGGGCACCACTGCAGACTTCCCTCCAGTCAGAAAAACAACCATTCACCACTACTCTCTGCTTTCTGTCTCCCAGCCAGTTCTGTATCCGCTGCCACTGTCCCTTTTAATACCGTGGGTTTCTATTTTGCTTACAAGTCTCTTATGTGGCACTTTATCAAACGCCTTTTGAAAATCCATATAAACTCCATTAACTGCATTACCTTTATCCACCCTCTCTGTTATTTTATCAAAAAACTCTTTTCAGGTTTGTTAGACACAATTTGCCATTAACAAATCTGTGTTGAGTGTCTACTTTTAACCCATATTTTTCTAAGTGAAAATTTATTTTGTCCCAGATTATAGTCTCCAGACATTTCTCCACTACTGATGTTAGGCTGACTGGCCTGTAGTTACTGGGTTTATCCTTCTGCCCATTTTTGTAAAGGGGAGTAACATTTGCAACTCTCCAGTCCTCTGGCACCGCCCCGGTATCCAAGGAGGATTGAAAGATTGTGGCCAGAGCCTCCGCTATTTCTACCCTTACTTCTCTCAGTGACCTAGGATGCATCCTGTACGGATCGGATGACTTATCTACCTTGAGCACCGTCAACCTTTTAGTACCTCCTCTCTGTTTATTCTTATCCTATCCAATTTCTCTACCCTCTCCTCCGATACTGTGGCATTGACTGCATCCTCTTTTGTGAAGACAGATGCAAACTACTCATTCAGTACGTCAGCCTCCACAAGAAGATTTTCACTTTGGTCCCTAATTGGCCCCACTCTACCTTTGACTAACTGTTTATTCTTTATAATAATAATAATAATAATAATAATCCTTGCATTTGATATAGCGCTTTTCACGTCGGGAGGACGTCCCAAAGCGCTTCACAGAATAGACTGTAAAGTGAATTGACTGTATATTTGTGGGCGAACGCGGCAGCCAATTGCGCACAGCAATGTCCCACAAACAGTCGTAGATTGAAAATGACCAATTTATTATTGTTTTTGTTTTGGAGGGATTATTATTATTAGGCGTGTGGAGTAAGGAAACTTGCCCAAGGTTTCGCCCTGACCTGCCTGGAATTGAACTCAGGTCTCTCACTTGCAAAGCGAGTGCTCTAACCACTGAGCTACAGGACTCCACAATTTTATATGCTTATAAAATACCTAAGGGTTCCCTTTTATGTTACCTGCTAATCTTTTCTCATACAATCTCTTTGCCCCTCTTATTTCCATTTTCAGTTCTCCTATTTTTTTCTATATTCTATTGGATTATATTCTGTATTTTGGACATGACATTTAGATAAGCCTCCTTTTCTGTTTTATTTTAACCCCAATTTCCTTGGGAAGTTTGGATGCCCTACCTTTCCCCTTTGTGGGAATGTATTTGTTCTGTACCCAACTATCTCCTCCTTGAAGGCTTCCTATTGCTCATTAGTTGTTTTAACTGCCAATCTTTCTTTCTAGTCCACCTTGGCTAGGTCGCTTTTTAACTCACTGAAATTAGCCCTCTTCCAGTTGAGTATCTTTACCTATGGTTGTTCCGTCTTCCTTATGTACTCTAAACCTAATGAAGTTATGATCACTGTTGTCCAGATGCTCTCCGACTGAAATATGGTCCACTTGCCCCACTTCATTCCCCTTCCTTGCCCTTTACACTGTTATTTTGCCAGTCTATGTTAGGATAATTGAAGTCCCCTATTATCACTACTCTATTGGTTTCGCATCTTTCTGAAATCTGCTTGCAGTATAGTATACACCTAACAGAGTAACAGCTCCTTTTCTGCTCTTTAACTCTAACAAAATAGATTCTGTTTTTGGACCCTCTGGCACATCGTCCCTTTCCAGGACTATAACCGTGTTTTTAATCATCATCGCCATCCCCCTCCTTTTGTCTTTCACCAGTCCCTCCTGAATGCATTGTAGCCAGGACTATTCAACTCCCATTCCTGCCCTTGTTTGAGCCAGGTCTCTGTGATTGCCACTACATCATAACCCCATGTGGCACTTAAGCCTGCAGCTCACCAACCTTATTTGTCACATTCCATGCATTTACGCACATGAACTCCAAGACCGACTTAGTCTGCTCTGCATTTCTCCCCTGTCTAATCTGTCCTTTTTCTGGACTACTCCTTATTGCATTGCTATTCTTCTCTCGCAGCCCTCTATGTAACTTTTTTCTCCTCTCTGATGCGACCCCCTGATTCTATTCCCTCTCGAAGTTAGTTTAAACTCTTCCCCACAGCATTAGTTAACCACCCTGTGAGGACATTGGTTCCAGGGATGCGGATGGTAAATCAACTTAAAAAATTAAGACGTTGGGAGCTTGAAGGGATATTGAGTTAACTTTGTTTGCGCAATTGATAAGATGTATCAAATAAGCTGTCAGGGAAAACCATTGAAACAACAACTTGCATTTATGTAGCACATTCAGGTAGGATAACTCCTCAAAGCATTTCACAGTGGGAGGGGGAGGAGGTAAGCAGGCGCAGTTGAAGAGAGAAGTTCTATTTCTGAAATGTACAGCACTCTGAACTGAGGATTTATAGAAACCGATAGTCAAATATTAAAATGTAAAAGAAATATTGGAGTAAAATATTTACAAACCAGTCCATCTTTATCTGTTGAAATTTTTTCTTATGAATAAAATTGTGCTGCAGCTTGATTTTTAACAAAGCAGTTTATGAGAATTGTAATTGTGGTTTTGTATTTCTTTCAGGTCTCTTCAACAAACCAAATACTTACTCCAAATTTGAAAACAATTAATGCAATAAATGAGTATATGTCTCAGCTTTATTCCAAAAAGACTCCAGTGGAATAGTGTTTAAAGAGCTCAGCAATCTTATATATTGTACTTACTAATTACTTTCCCCCAACTCCTAAAACAAACCAGCCTTACATTTTAGTTTTATCCTCCGTGGTGGGGGAACCCTTTGTTTTAAATTAATCAACTTTAATTAATCTGCATTGACTTCATCTGGGTTTCTGTTTTGAAGCAAGTGCTGATGAAATAGACTAAACTCTATTGCCTGTCTTAGTTCCAGAACCAAACCTGTGCCATTCAATCTAATTCCCTTTTGTATGTCTCACTGTGGGTGAATCCAATGTGATTCTATTTAGGGATTGATTGCCTGAAACAAATTCTGCAAAATCTTCTCTGTGGTTTTAGAAAAGCAGTTTATGAGAATTGTAACTGGTTTCATGCAGTCAGTGTAAACCATTAGAAATTTGAGGTTTGTAGAACATGCAGTATAAAAGATGCATGAGTTATGGGCCAATTCTTTGTAATGTTTTCTATTTCATTGCACTCATCTGAAATTGCCTACATATACCCTCAGGACGAATTCCAACTTAGTTTTGAGTATGGTGAAGAATGGGAAGCTGAAGGCAAAGATTGCATTTATAAGTGTAATATCAGAGAATTTGAAAGAAAACACTGAAAACGTAAATTTATATTGAATGCAACCAGATTACAAAAAGGCCACTTGGATCAGCATGTTGGTGTGATATTTCACCCGTCAGTTACTCAAGCTGAAATCTAACAAGCACACCCAATAGCCACAACACAACTGTTCATATATTTATGCAAATTCCCTTTACAGCTGAATGTTTAATGGATGTTTGTTCTGCTGAATTTGCAACATTCCCCAGTTTTACAGAGAGAAAGTCTGGAGTGGGTGATTGCTGACTTCAGCTCAGTAAGAGAAAGGCATGGTGTCGCTTAAGAAAGGGTTCAATACAAAAAAGTTGACCCCTAGCCAAGTGTTTAAAATATCACAGCAAAAAATGATAGAGAAGCACCAGTAACATATCTCTTCTAAAAACTCTAGGTTTATGAGACATTTAGACTTGCTTCTCAGAACCCTACAGATTTTTTTTTGCACGATTCTGCCCCAAATAAAAACAGTACAACAATCAGTGATTCAGCTTTTCTGGAGACAATTTGAATCCATGTGAAAGTTTTACCACTGTATCTACCTCTATGTAACACTGAGTCTCATTCATAGAACAGCACCATTGGCTCTATATTTAGACATGACTCTCTAAAGTCATTACAGAGGTGAAAAGGGCAGTGTTATAAATCTATATTGGTTACTTAGCTCTACCACAAACTTGTTTTTGAGCTTCACGCTGTTAATACTCTACAATGAAATCCTGAATTAAAACCTTGTTTCTTGGAACCAGAGGCTCTAATGCTTTCAAGACTAAGGAGTTTGAAGAGATCCCGTTAGGAAATGAATTTCAAGTATCATAAGGGACATGGATTTTATCAAAGTTACAAATGAAATTGAATAATAAATAATCCTTACCTTCTTTGAAAACAAAAGTATAATGTTTCAAGTAAAGGCAGATTAATGGTCAACTCAACTTCAGTAACTGATAGTATAGTATGATATTCATCGATAAACTCATCCACAGAAAAAGTAATCTGCTTTGCAGTAAGTAATCTTATGCAGAATGTAGAGGTTAGACACTTTTATCCGGAGAAAAGCAATGGTGGCAAAAAGCAATGGTTTTGTTCTTATAGGCTGCTCTGATTCACAAGATCTGTTTAAGTCAAGTGTAACCATTACTGTTGTAATGTCTCACTTTGAAGAGATTGATTCTGTATTTGTGATTTTTTTTTAAACTGAGCTTTCAGGGGGTAATGTTTGCTTATTAATTTTTCTGTATATTTTCTAACATTCCAGTTATATGTGCTGCTGGTTGCCATGTGAATATTTTGACCGTCTTATCCACTCCCATCAGTGGCAATACCTACATAGTTGTGAGAAACAGTAGCTCCCACCTGATGTATTTAATGGTGAGGGAATCAGCTGTGCATTGCACAGTTGAGCACCAGAAAGTGGAGGAATGGTGAAAAAAGTTCACCCCACTCTGTTGATCTTGGTTGTGCTGCTCTCTGCACTGTTGAGTGGAGGCCAGCTGTTGCTTGCAAGAAAGGAGGGGTGGAGAAGGAGGAAAGACAGAAAATCACTGGATAAGCTTTGGTCCACACACCTATTCAAGAGCCAAAGGGAGCTTGGAACACATGGCCCGATGCTCTCAACTGGGAACTGGTGTGTGACGTTGGAGTTTGGCAGAGGGAGAATTTGTTTGGACAGTACTGAGAGATCTTTACCCTACACAGAACCTATATTGTAGATGACTTGAGAACACTTAATAATAATATAAGTGTAAAGCTGCTAAATCTTCCAGCACTAACATCCTTCCCCAAGTAACTGACCAGCATTGAAAGATAGTTTTAAACTCCTCTTCTGGGATCATCTGTTTCTCTTTTTCTTAGTAAAGACAGATCTTGTGAAGAGCATTTCCAGCTCCCATTTAAGAAGGAATTGCTTCTTACACAACACAACGGAACAGTTTTGTACATGGGAACATCCTGTTGCAAAGGTTGCCGGTCACTAAGGCACAGGCGGCAAATCAGTCACTTTATAGCTCTCAAAGGAACTGATAGTGAGAATTCTACTACTAAATCAAACAATGAACAAAATGTTTTGCATAATTTTTTCAAGCTTGTGATGTACAAAAAACTTCACCAAATCTAGCTGAAGGCTATGTAATCTGTACAAAAACATGGGTGTTAAATTGTGAATAAAATGCACTTTGTATTACTGCTAATCGGTTTCAATGTAAATGTATTATTGATTGTAATACTTTGTTGCCTCTAACGGTTTCTCCTCCAGCCCCCGCATTGTCACGTCTGGCGTCCCCCAGGGCTCTGTCCTTGGCCCTCTCCTTTTTAATATCTACATGCTCCCCCTTGATGACATCATCCGCAGACATGGGGTCAACTTCCATATGTATGCGGATGACACCCAACTCTATCTTTCTGCCTCCACCCTCAGCTCCAGCACCACTGCTGTCCTGACAGACTGTCTGTCGGACATCAAGTCCTGGATGAGGGCAAATTTCCTACAGTAGAATGTGAAGAAGACTGAGGCCCTACTTATTGGCTCGCGCCAGCGCCTCAGCACCTCAGGCTTTGGCAACATCAACCTCCATGGTTGCACACTACAACTCACCAGACAGTCAGGAACCCAGGTGTCTTGTTCGACCCTCAACTGTTTTTTCTTCCCCACATCCAAGCCATGACCCGCTCTGCCTTCCCTCACTTCCGTACCATCGCCCGACTCCGCCACTACCTCACCCCTCAGGCCGCTGAAACTCTTGTTTATGCCTTGATCATCTCCAGGCTCGACTATGCAAACGCCCTGCTTGTCGGCCTTCACAACTCCTCCCTCCACAGGCTGCAGATAATTCAGAACTCTGCAGCCCGTGTCCTCTCCCGCACCCCATCTCCCGCATTCGCACCCTACTCCATTGGCTCCCTGTCCTTCAGAGGATCCAGTTCAAGATCCGCCTGCTCCACGTCCCCCGACCCACCCGCCCACCATTGGCGGGAGAGCCATCAGCCACTCTGCCCCCAACCTCTGGAATTCCATCCCCCAATCACTCCGCCTCACCCCATCCTTAGCCTCCTTCAAGTCCCGCCTCAAGATCCTCCACTTCAACCATGCCATCAGCCAACCCCTTCCCCTACCCCCTGTTCCCAACCCCCCCACCCCCGACCCCAACTCGGGTCTGAAATGCTGTACACTGTTCAGCGCCTTGGGACGTCCTCCCAACTTGAAAGGCGCTATACAAATGTAATCTTCTTGTAATGCCTGACAGTAATACTGGAAACTTTGCAATTAGAAAATCTGTATATTTGAAGATTTTAGATAGTATTGCATTTAGTTACATCCCTTAAGGATTTGTGCTGAGTCTCAGCATCCCTGGGCTGAGGAAAAGGCGAAATCAGACAGGATTGTCTGTTCATTGTTCAGCCATCCCTTGCTGGAATGTGTCCTGAGGTAAGGCTTGTCTGCAATGCCCATCATAGTCAAATGTTCTGTGCCTGCCTCACCCTCAGCATTCAGGCTTACACATGAGCGAGGTATTGAAATGTGAAATGTGCCCTGTACCCATTGAAATTCTTTCCTCAATTTGCAATTGGTTTACAAGTTTTGAGGATGTTTAAAATTAAAATGAGCTAGAAATTGACATTGATGGTGTGAAGTTTGTGAAATTCCCTTGTGACTGATGCAGCAATTGGAACAGCAGTTTTTCACTCTGGCATCCAGCCAGACCCAGGTGCAGTCTGCTGGTATAAAAAACATTCTCAGTACTGCCGACCCACAACGGTGGCCATGCCTTCGTCGTCACACGTATCCTTGACCTGTCGCCTATCACGGACAAGGTCTCTCAAACTATTTCCTCATCTCCCTCTCCTCCTGCATCCCTCTCCCCTCTTCTAAACCCTCCACCATTTTTTTCCGCCCCTGGAAAAAGCTTCCCCGAGTCCCTCACAAATGCTGTCTCTTCTTCGGACCTCCTCTCCCCCTGGCCCTCCATCTGCAGCAATCCTCATGCAGCCAGCAAGCTGCTGAATGACCATCTCTCCACAACCTTCAATTTCCTGCCTCCCCTGAAATCCAGGGTTGTTTCCAAACCCACCCATTACCTCTGGTACAACAGTCATCTCCGCTCACTCGAAACACAAACCCGGATACTCGAGCGCAGATGGAAGAAACACAGCCTCACGATTCACTGCCAGCTGTAGCTCGAGCACCTCCACATCTATCGCCTCTCCCTGCCACAGGCCAAAGCTGACTTTTACTCCAAAGTCATCCTGGAGGCAAACAACAATCCAAAGATGCTGTTTTCCACCGTCCATCATGCCCCTCAAGCCCCTTCTATCCTCACATCAAACACCAAGTGCGGAGAGGTCCTAGACTTCTTCGCCTCGAAGATTAAAAACGTCCACATATGTATGTCACCAAGGCGTTGGAAATTTCCCTGTGTCTGGAATGGAGGGTGCACTCCCTGATGGGATGACACCTTGATAACCTAATTCTAGAAAATTCAGAATTGTAAGGGACCTTTTGGGTGAATTCTACCTTGCTTACACAGGATTGTTTTTTTAAAAAAAATCCGCAAACTGTTTTGTGTGGGGAGTCGCACTTTATTTACAGTTTGTGTGTGTGTGTGTGGGGGGGGGTGGAGGGGGTTGGTGGGAGTAAAATAGCCTAACAATCACTGAATCAGCTCCTCCTCAAAACAGCAGTGGTTGAGATAAGAACTTCGGCGGCAGCAGCTCCGAACTTTTTGGCACAGGGTATCACGAGCTCCAGAGACGAATGTCCAGCCTCTGCCACTGTTCTGACAGGGAACTTACCCAACGCTCCACGTTCCTATTCAGAACGCCGTGTTGCTATTGCAGTGACGCTGACCTCACCCAAACAAAGAGCACAGCGCTGAGGAGGGCGTCACTTTCAGTGACTCAAACAAGAGAGGAGGCACTGACTGACTGACTGCCTGACCGACCGAGAGAGCGTCCAGATAGGAACTGGGTAAAAGATTGAGCCAAGAGAAAATGGATTCAAATCATGGAGAGGAAGCCGAACAAAGTAACGACATTATCTCCTTATTTATATATCACTTCTTTAAGGCAAAATCTCATCCCGTTTTAATGTGAATTTATTTACAACATTTAATCTGTTTTTTTTTCTTAATTTGTTTTAACCTACTTCTCGACCCTACCTTTCAACCACCCTCGATTTTTATTTATTTATGATGATATTTATTCCATCTTTCACTTGGTCCCTTAGTTTAATAGACTTTTTTTCACAATTTCATCTTTTCTTACCTAGGAACTCCTGGCTCATCTGCTCAGATATCAATCTTGGAAGACAATGAGGTATTGGTGCTATGTGACTTATCAGTGAAGGAACCAATTACAAGGAATGATTGAAAACAAGATAGATACGTGGAGAATTATAAAAATCCTTCTTAAAGCGCTTCACAGATGTGCTACAAAGTGAAGTGACTATTTCGTGGGGAAACATGGCAGCCAATTTGCACACAGCAATGTCCCACAAACACCCATGAAGTGAATAACCAATTTTGTTGGCATTACCAGTCAGCTAATCCAGGTCAGCTCATACCCTCTCTGAGCTTAATCCCAGAGGAGCATCAACCAGGCTGGACTGGGGGATTGTCAGTTAAAGAGTGCAGGGAGATAGAATTACAAGATTTAAACCGGTAGAACAGGTTACATTGGCCTTCTCCTGCCCTGTGTTCCTGTTACACTTTCAATTACACTTTCATACTCCATGTGAAAGGTATTATTTTACCCACAATCATTAGCTCCCCCAATAACCCCCATTTTCTCTTCAATATTTTAAAATTTCTTTCCTCCCCACACACAAACACATTACAACCATATCCAGATGTCACCCTTTCTGCTATGTTTTGACATAAGGCACGAGCTGGCACTATGACTTCAACCCACTTTGATCAATCCTCTTTGTGTGAGGAGACGGTATTAATTTACCCCCAATCAGTTATGTGTCTCCTGGTCAAACTATGATTCTCCTCCCAGTCAAACTAAATCACTTCCCAGCCAATTCGGTCATTCATTGTTGTGACATTGTATAACTCTAACTACGAATGCATCAACGTTGCTTCTCTGTTTTTTTAGCTAAGATCAAGTGACGTCTCTGTTCTCAGCAGTTACTCGTTCGGCGAGCAACCGCCAGAGAAGTTACCCTGTAGAGGTTCGCTTGTGAAATACAGTCATGACCAAATCTCACCCATAGGTGGGGCATTATGGGAAGCATTGAGCTCCTGGTAGCAACTGTGCCTTCAACCCTCTGTCGGTTGGGATTGGTTTTGCAGCACTTACGATCTGAGGAGTTTGATCTGCCCTCACACCCAGAGGAAGTGGACATACTGGAATGCAGAGCTCACTTGAGCAGCTGGTCACTCGGCTCAGGCCGGGCTTGCCCTGCCAGAGAGGCCATGCGGTCACCGGACTTGTTCGAGTGGTCGTGAAGAGATGGTTCAGGTCCACATTGTCCTTTGACAATTTAGGGCCTAGAAGAGTTTGGGGAGCGGATGGGGCTTGTCTGTGGGGACAACCCCCACCCCTAATGGAATATGATTAAGTCTAATTCAGGTAATGGGGGTGAGCAGACCTAACCTTGTTCACTATTGAAAAAAATCAGTCCAAAGCAAAAGAACACGTATAATGCATCTGACTCGTGAGCCCAGTGGTGGGTTGTGGAAGCCTATGTTGGGGTAGATAGCCTTAGCGCTTGCTATTTAAATATGGAAGCTGGTTCTTTGTGGCTAAGTTCCATATTTAAAAAATATACTATTTTATACATTTATATTTAAATACTATATGTAAACATAAGAATTATTATTAAAAAAAGTTTCTGCATTTGATCCACCACCTTATCACATCAGAAATCTCAAGGTGTAGTGACTTATGTAGGCGAACAAACAGCAGCGGGCTGAACAATAGACCCAAATGTCTTTTGGATAAATTGAAGAAAGCTATAAGGTAGCTGAAAGGATGCAAACCGTGAAAAGGGTTAGTTTCCACTTGAGTGGAATGCTCTGCAGTGCAGAGAGGACAGCTCCAGGGCTTAGCTATTAGGTTATTGATTGATGTGACAGTAATTAAATTGTTCCCAAACAAATCTGCTTCTCTAGTAATGGAAATGTGCTGCCGTTCAAATCAATGGTCCAAAGTCCATACATCATTCAAGTTTAATCTTGTTCTGGAGCTTATTATGAGGTGCGCAGAGGGATTGGGTGGGGAAGAATCACTGTGCATTGCAGCACCAAAACAGGGCTATGGAATGGGGGAGGCTCAGGTCACTGGTGGAGGGATGTCCTTTACCATTGAATGTCCCTTTGAGCCCAGTCTGACGACGGTGTAGTTTTTCAACTCTGTGGTGTATGGGGGTGGGGTGGGGTGGGGGGGAGCGCGGGGAGGAAATATCCTCTGAAAAATTAAAGTAAAGCTGAAACAATAGTGTTACTGATTTTTATTTCTTGCTGCAGGGACAAGTAATGTTTGAGGATGAGAACGTGGAAGTTTCCTCTGTGAGTTTGATTGTTTGATTTCTTTCACTCGCTGCCATATGACTCGATCAGTCATTCCTAGGAACTCCAGATTATGAGTCTCCGTATTTCCTTCCTCCTACAATCTACAGGCTTCCCAAACTACTCCTGGACCCCCCTCATGGCTCCTTAACTTCTCTAGTTTTCTCTCTAATCGGATAGCCTTGAATTTTGGACATTGAATGCCCACAGTGGGTTCTTAATATAAAAATAAAACACTTTGTGATAAAAATCACCCCAGCACAGGGTTGGAGTGTTGGGAGTCTTTGATTTCTGGGATCATGGGTTGCAAAGCTTTGTTAATTTGGAGCGCTGCCTTTATATCGCCTTATGCAGGCCCTTATTTGGAAAGCTGCTCTGCATAATCCTTGCATTTGATATAATGCATCATCAGCACGTCTCAAAGCACTTCACAGGTTACTGCAAAGTGACTGCGTGTTTGTAGGTGAATGTGGCAGTCATTTGGGCGATTGTTGGGTAAATGTCCTGGACCTCAGTCAGGACAAGGCATAGAAATCCAGAATTTCATACACAACTCTGGAAAAGTGCAATGCCCGAGGTTACAGTGAAAGATTAGATTATTGGAGCAAGGTCTTAAAATGTTTAGCGCCCTCTTGCTGGGGGTGGGGGTCGTGCGGGTAGGTCGTCTGACATCAGAAGAAAAAAAATCAGTCCCCCCCCACCACCCCAGTTCCTCCAGCTCGTTGACTCCTTTCCAGTAAACTAAGTTGCACCGTGCTGCTTTGGTTGGGCACAAATTTCAGAAATCACCTCAAGTTTCCTGCCTGCTCCGTGTACCCTACACTATTCTTCCCAATTGCCTAACATTTACAAAAAGAGTGGAATTAATTTTTCGAAACCAATTCCTGTGTTTCTTTTGCAATTATTCAGTTGTGTGTTTATTCCCTACTGTTCCCTAGGATTCTTTGGAAAAGGTAAAGAAAGACAACATTTCGGTAAGTTACCTTGTTGGTTCTTTCTTTAACTTTTGGTTGTGTGGATATACTTATGGTAATGGAAATGAAAGGATTAGAGGGTGACGTCCAGTAGACTTAATGTGTTGAATCCCTGAGTCTCAAGGGCGGAGTACAATACAAATACAAAATTACATTCGCCTTTCAGGTCAGGAGGACGTCCCAAGGCGCTGCATAGTCAGGGATTTGGACTCGAGCTGGGGATCAGGGAGGGTGGAGAGCAGGGAGGGTAGGAAGGTGGTCGAAAGCTCAGTCGAAGGGGAGGGTTTTGAGTCATGCCTTGAAGGAGGCAAGGGAGGGAGTGAGGCTAAGGGAATGTGGGATGGAGTTCCAAAGGGGGCAGAGAGGCTGAAGGCCCAACCAGCAGGGGACATGGAGCAGGCCAGAACCTGCTGAGCGGAGGGAGCAGACAGGTTGATATGGGGTCAGCAGGTCACAGAGGTAGGAAGGAGCCAGGCCGTGGAGGGCTTTGAAGGCAAAGACGAAGATTTTGAACACTATCCTCTGGGGTGAAGCCAGTGAAGCAAGGTGAGGATGGGGGTGATGCGGAGCCTGATGCAGGAGAGGACATAAGCTGCAGAGTTCTGGAGTATTGACACTTAACACTACGTGAAGCAACAGTGTCACCATTACCATGCCCTACAGTGCATGGGAATCACTTGTGGACCTCAATTGGTCTCATTTCTACAACAGTCACTGCGGTAGGGATTCTTTCCATTTGGTTCCTGTTAACTCTGCAAACCAAAGCCCTAATAATCAGGATGGTCCCAGTTGGATAAAAAACTGGAAGCTTGCCAGGCAATGCTCACCATGGCAATCTGAGTGGTTAGACTCTATCAGTTACCCCTATGTGCACTCTGTGTTCCCAAAACCTTGGTTCTCGCCAACCTGTGCCTAATACTTTCGAATTAGGTAAGCAGGGTTGATCCTTCCGGAAAGAGATTGTGAATTCCACAACACTCTGGGTTGGGATTACTTAAGGTCAGTTTTTTAGACAAATGAGCCTCTGTTCTATCAACGGGATGAGGATCCCTGCAGGTGTGCGATGGTTTTCAACCAATCCACGTCTAGTCACGCTACAATCTGGTGCTGACGTGACATGGCTGCAAAGTGCTTCAAATCTGCTCGGTCTGATTCATGTAGAACTTGAGAATGGATTTTATAACATTTCTCAACAGCTGGTTTCCGAACATCTCCTGAGAAAGGATTCCACTGTAAGTGAATTTACATTTTTATGCTTCAGTTCCTCTCCTCTCTCAATGTTGCTGACACATGATCCAAACGCCCCTTCCCTTTTACCTCACCCCTAAATATAATGTGAGGCGAGTTGGATAATCTTCTCTCCTTACAAATCTGCGCACATACTTCTCCGGGTGATAATGCCCCTTCCAGCGGGGAGGGAGAGAGGGAGGGAGTGAACAAGTGAGGGAAGAAGGGAGGGTGAAGGAGGGAAGGAGAAAGAATACTGGAGGGTAACAGTCTACGTGGAGCAGTTTCCTGGAGCTATTCCCCAGGCATGGCCTGGTCCCAGTGTTTACACAATACAATTTTACAGTATAATTTACATCCAAATTCCATCTTTCATGTTGGGAGATGTCTCAAAGCGCTTTATACTGAAGACTGGGCATCCAAACTGAGGCTGGGAAGTGAAAGGGGAGAGGGAAAAGATGATTGAAAATGCAGTCAAAGAGTTATGTCTTGAGACGGGTCTTGAATAAGGTGAAGGAGGGAGTGGATTGGAGGGTTGAAATTCCATAGAGCGGAATAAAATGGCTAGTAGTCCACATGCTAACGGTGGGGCGGGTGGGGAACAGGGCCCATGCCTTGGAAATAGTATATTTCTATATTTCTATATATTTCTATATATCTCTATATTTCTATATAATAGTATATAATACCATAACTCAGTCTCTCACAACCGGACAATATTATTGAATTTTATTTTATTTATTTTATTTATTTATTTTTCTCTCCTCCCCCCAACAGGATTCCAACTTCAGTTATGAGAAGTCAAGCAGTGTAAGTGATTATTCATGTCTTTTCCATACACCTCCTCCCCTTCTCTTCTGCCTCTTTCAGGAAAGACTCTTTTGTAGTGTTTTGCTCCAGCTGGAGTCTGATGAAGAGGGAAAGACCTGTCCATGGTTGGTGAGTCCAGTTCCAGCTGCTGAGAACTCTCAGTGACAGAATCTGAGTGTGTATCTCCCCACGGGAACTGAGGAGCACACAGCTCGCTATCTATGAATGGAGAATGTAGGTGCAGGTTGGCAGAAGCCAAGGCTTTCGGGAGCCCGAAGCAAGTACTAGTGGACTGCTGCATTTGTAACAGGTTAAGCTGTTCAGAGTATCACCTCGAGACACTGCTAAGGCCACATGGGCTTTTCCAGCTAGGATCACTGCTCTACCTCCTCAGACTTATAATAATAATCCTTGCATTTGATATAGCGCATTTCATGTCTTCTAGACATCTCAAAGCGCTTCACAGAATATGCTGTAAAGTGAATTGATTGTATATTTGTGGGTGAAACCGGCAGCCAATTGCACACAGCAGTGTCCCACAAACAGTCGTGGATTGAAAATGAACAATTTATTGTTTTTTGTTTTTTGAAGGGATTATTAATAGGCGTGTGGGGTAAGTAAACTTGCCCAAGGTTTCGCCCTGCCTGGAATTGAACCCACTTGCAAGGCGAGTGCTCTAACTACTGAGCTGCAGGACTCCACAGTGACAGAATCTGAGTGTGTGACTTCTCCTCTCTCCTCCCTCAACCTTTCCCTCCACATTCACTCTGCTACCCACACCCACAGTTACCCGCTCGACCTGGTGATCACCCGGGGCCTCAGTGTCTCGGATGTCACCATCACTGACAAGGTCATCTCTGACCACCATTTCATTTCCCTCAACTCCCATATCCCTCTCCTCACTGCCTCCAAAGCTACAACCATCTTCTACCGCTGCCCTCTTCGCTGCCCTGGAGTCCTCTGAACTCCTCCCCCTCTGGTCCACTTCTCGCACCAACCCACTCGCTGTGCTTACTCTTCTCCACTGCACCCTCTCCACTACACTCAACGTCCTTGCCCCCCTCACCTCCCAAACTGCCTCCTATTCCCGATCCTCACCCTGGTTCACCAGCCACCTCCGCTCACTTAAGGGCCAGATGCGGTCTGCTGAATGCACCTGGCTCAAATCAGGCCTAACGGTCCACTGCCACATCTGGCTGGACCTCATCAAAACCTACCGCTCCACTCCGGCCAAGTCGTCCTTCTATTCCAGGTTAATCCTGGAGGTGAAGGGCAATCCCAGACTCTTGTTCCCCACTACTAACCGACTCCGCCCTTCCCGCCACTCCTCGCAGATTCTTTCCTCTGGCTCCCACTGTGAGAAAATGCTGGGCTACCTCGAATCCAAAATCGAGGGAATCCGCTCAGCTGCCACTGCCCTCCCAACTTCCACTGCCTCCCTAACTCCCGCCCATACTCCGACAATCCCTCCTTCCACATCTTTGAACATGTCACCTCCTCCTCTGTCTTCACCACCATATCCTCCATGAAGTCCACCACCTGCTCCCTGGACCCTATCCCCACCCCTCTCCTTAAGTACCAGCTCCACCTCCTTGCCCCACTACTCGCCGACATCATCAACCTCTCCCTGTCATCTGGCACTGTTCCTTCCCCCCTCAAAACAGCCACTATCACCCCCATCTTGAAGAAACCTTCCCTTGACCCATCACAGCTATCCAGCTACCGGCCCATCTCAAATCTCCTTTCCTATCCATGGAACCTGAGAGAGCCGTTGCCTCTCAGCTTTACTCTTTCCTCTCCTCCCACTCCCTCCATGAACCCCTCCAATCGGGTTTCCATGCTGCCCATAGCACAGAAACTGCTCTAGTCAAGGTCACAAACGACATCCTGACCATGTGCAACCAGGACTCCCTCTGTATCCTCATCCTCTCTACTGCCTTTGACATGGTGGACCATTCAATCCTCCTCCAACGCCTCTCCTCCCACCTCAATCTTCAAGGTTCTATCCTTGACTGGTTCAGGTCCTACCTTTCACACCACCTCCACTTCATCGCGGCAAACAGCTTCTCCTCCAGACCCCGCACCGTCTCGTGCGGTGTTCCTCAGGGCTCTGTCCTCGGTCCCCTCCTCTTCACCCTCTACATTTCCCCCTTGGTGACATCATCCGCAGATATGGGGTATATTTCCACATGTATGCGGATAACACTGAACTCTATCTCTCCGCCTCCACCCTCAACTCCAGGACTACTGGCGTCCTGACCGACTGCTTGTCCGACATCACGTTTTGGACGAGGAACAACTTTCTCCAACTCAACGTCAGCAAGACTGAAGCCCTCCTGATTGGCTCGCGCTAGCGCCTCCACACCTCAGACGCTGGCAGCATCAGCCTCCACGGCTGCACACTCAATCTCACTAAGCCAGTCAGGAACCTGGGTGTCTTGTTTGACCCTGAACTGTCCTTTCTCCCCCACATCCGTGCCATGATCGGCGCTTCCTACCTCCGCAACATTGCCAGACTCCGCCACTGCCTCACCCCTCAGGCTGCCGAAGCCCTTATTCATGCATCTGTCACATCAAGGCTCGATTACGGAAAATCCCTCCTCATTGGCCTTCCCAACTGTTCCCTTCACAAGCTGTAGATCATCCAAAACTCTGCAGCTCGTGTACTCTCGGGCACCAGGCTCCGTGACCCCATCACTCCCCCCCTCACCCGACTCCCTTGGCTCCCCATCCCTCAGTGGCTCAGATTCAAGATCCTCATCCTCATTTTCAAGGCCATCCATGGCCTTGCCCCCTCCTACCTCTCTGACCTGCTGACTCTCTATCAACCTGCCCGCTCCCTCCATTCAGCGGGCTCCGGTCTGCTCCATGTCCCCCGCTCGACCAGCTCTACCATTGGTGGCCGGGTTTTCAGCCTCTCTGCTCTCACACTCTGGAACTCCATCCCATAGTCCCTTCGCCTTGTTTCCTCTCTTGCCTCCTTCAAGGCCGATCTCAAGACCTTTCTCTTCAATCATGCCTTTGGTCGCCTCCCAGCTCTCTGCCTTCCCCTACACCACCCCTCCCCCATGCTCAGGTCCTGACCCGTGACTGTTCAGCGCTTTGGGACATCCTCCCGATGTGGAAAGGCACTTTATAAATGTAATTTTGTTGTTGTTGTTGTTGGCTCAAGTATCGGATCAGTGCATCCCCACAGAGAACTGTGTCACCTCCTGAGCTGGAATTGCTTAGATTCTTAATCAGTCGTTTCAAAGTGTATTAATAGAATATAACTCTAACAGTTGCAAGTAGTCATAATATAAACCTAGTGAGGCTACATTTGATTTTGATGCAGTGATTTGATTTAACATACATGAAGGGAATAGAGGGGATAGGAGGGGAGGAGGCTTGTGTAGTGTAAAAACCGGGGTCCGACCTTGTTGGGTTGAATGGCATCTTTTCGTGCTGTTATATTACATGTAAAAAGTTATATAGGTGTTAAGCATCTCACTGAGTACCTGTGTTTTTATCTCTTCCTTCCCATAGGAATCGGATGAGTTGGACAAGTTGCGTGAAGTAAGATATTATTGTTGACTGTTTCTATCAGAATGTGAATTTCCCCTCCCTGTTCCTGTAGTAGGCCTGACTCACACTGCAGTCAAGTTAGAAGGTGACTGCTCTCCAAGTGGCCATTTTACATTTTACATTTTACAAGTCAGTGTGTAAAACTGTGCAGGGCACAAACCTTTGGCTTTTTGAAGAGTGGAATTCACAGAAGATTACACCCTTCACAACTCAGAGGAGCTGAGGCAAACTGTAGTATAAAAGAGTGTCTAGAGTAACTGATGGCAAGTGAATGAATTCATTGACATGGAGAAAGGGACGGGGCAGAACCTGAGGAACCCTCTAGCTAACGGAAGAGGAATTGGAGATTGGACCTCTGACTAAATCCCGTAGAGAGCGATTAGACAGGTACCGAGATCATCAAGTTCAGGAGTGTAACTTTGGGGTAAGTCACAAGATCACAAGTTTGGTTTGGATGAAGAAAGCTATTTGGCCTATCAGATATCATCTTTCCAGAACACTCCCCATCACAGCATCAAATCTCATGTCCTGGCCTGAACCACCCTTCCTGGCAACTTGTTCCACACTCAGATTACCCTCGAAGTAAAGACAAACTTCCTGGTTTGGCCTGTCCTGAAATTGCCCTTTACAACTCTAATGCTGGGTCCTCTTGTTCTACTGTCTTGTTGCATCCTAAGATATTGATCTGGGTTTACTTTTTCAACTCCATTTAAAATGTAATACACCTTGATTCAGAATGCACCTTATTTGGAATGTAACAAAGCCCAACCCTGTCAGAGAGTGTGGAGAAATTAATCAATGCAGTGTTGAAGAGCAGAGTTGCTGAGGTGTGTAATTGGGAAGAGTACCCCAAATGGAAATACCATACAGCAGTGGCACCAAAATAGTAGCCTTGCCCCTGGTAATAATAATAATGCTAATTCTTACATTTGGTACAGCGCCTTTCACATCAGAAGTACATTGTAAAGCGCTTCAAAAGATATATTGTAAAGAGCAGTGTTTTTGGGGCGAATGCAGCAGGCAATTTGTGCACAGTAATGTTCTACAAACAGCCATTGAGTGATTGGCCAATCGCTTTATTTGGTAGTTTTTCATTATATTTTCCTCCAGGAGTTAGCCCTGTGGCGGGCAGTGAATTCCACGACTGACTACTGAGCTGAGGAATAAACCCATCGATGCACTCATGAACACAAAATATGTGACTCAAACGAATAGACCAAAGAGAATTCCTAGCTCTAATCTACTCCGGTTGCACTGTCTTACAGCTGAACAGTCCTATTAATTCTTGCTCATTTATACCGGGTAATCCATGAGTGCACCCAAAACTGTGAATAAAACGTGTAACCATGTAAATGTACAGAGGGATACTCGAGACGTAAACAAAGAGTGTCTCGAAAATGTATGTGTGTCTGCCTGCCTTATCAACAACCACAACAACAAAATTACATTTATAGAGCGCCTTTCACATTGGGAGGACATCCCAAAGCGCTGAGGGTGTGTGCAGGCATGCTCATGGATGTAGTGCACACAACAGCGATTCCTGACTGTCTTAAAGGGAGCGTCCCAAAAAATGTGTGCACAACGCGTGCTGTGAACCTGTCCACACTCCCCACTAAGTGGGGAGTGATAAGGAGGGAGATAGAAGACCCCATTTGTAGACTTTGCCCTGCAAAGAGGGGCAGAATCCCGAGGCAGGCAAGCCTTGGTCCTTTCACCAAAGTGGAGGAAACCCCCACCACCACAAGGGGTCTGTTGTGTTCTGAAATGGGATAATAACATGTTGCATCTTCTTTTCTGCAATGGGTTTGATACTGTCTGAGACAAGAGTAATATATTAATTCTTGTTCATTCTCTCCCTGCAGAGATTTGATGCCATGATCCAGAATAGAATCATCAATGTAAGTCATTTTGCAGTCAGACCACAGAACCTTTAAACAGACCCTAAACTGTCTTGTGAGGTGTATCCAGGTCGTCTGGGTTTGTGGCAGGTGGTATTTCAAACTGTGATCCTTCGAGTCCAAACACATGGGACATGGGACAAATTGACACTTAAACGAGCTGCTGAAAATAGCAACACGGAAAACTGATGTCTAATGTAAGACCGTGCACACTACAACACTCCCAACACTATGGATGATAGCACTGCAAACTTGACCTTTTTGGGGGAGGACAAGTTTGAAGGGCTATGGGGAGAGAGTGGGGGAGTAGGATTGATTTGGATAGCTCTTTTCAAAGAGCTGGCACAGACATGATGGGCTGAATGGCCTCCTTCTGTGCTGTATAATTCTATGATTCCATGATTTAATACAATACAACCAATCACAATAGGACCAGGTAGGATTTCACCCTCTGGCGTGTGAGCACCCATAGTTCCAGTGAGTGTCACTAGATATGGATTTTGAGTAAGCAGCCAGTCTATGTGAGGAATTTAAGCAAATGGTTATCTCTGGTGCATTTTGATAGTAATTATTGTATTTTCTGTTGTTTTCGTCCCGTAGGTCTTTGCAGTTACTGATGAGACCACGACTGGTGTAAGTAATGCTATTGGTCATATTTTTCACTGTGTGAAACAAGTGCTTCATTTTGACAGTGAATCTCAAATACCTCCCCACCACCAACAACAACATACGCATAGCAGACACACACACGGCATGGAGAGCCCAGGTCAGAAGCTAACCGTGCTCTGTCACTGAGCCAATAGTTCCACATGGCTGGCGCTCTCTTCCCATTGTACATATGTCAGCAGCCTATACAACTTTGCAAGGAATCACATTCAAGATCTTTGGATGAAGAAGACCAGTTTTTTGGGGGTCTCTCTCACCCTGTGGTCAGTAATGTCAAGGTTAATGCAATAGAATAGTTAGGTTAGGATAGGAAGGTGAATGGAGGTGGTGTAGCTGTGGAAAAGGAACAAAGTGGGAGAGAGAAAAGACCTTGGGGAATAAAATAATAATCATTGTATACATGCAGTAATGACCCACAACTGCCATGAAGTGAATGACCAATACTATCTGGGGGATTGTTGGCCAGGATACTGGGAGAAATTCACCTTTTTAATAATATCATGCTGTGGTCTGTGAACACAACATTCCCAACATGGGGCTTGAACCCACAACAACAACAACAACAATAATAATAACAAAATGACATTTGTTCAGTTGGTGGCTGGTGGCTTTCCTGATTGGGGTGGGGAGAAGGTTTCAGTTGCATGTTTCACCCTTGTGATTATTTTGCATTTGCCCGCGTTGAGTATTGTGTTGGAGTGATCAGGAGTGCTGTCCATGACTACAAAGTGAATATAACGGGAAGACTGCTTGATATCAGTGGTTGTACTTTAACTGCAAATGTCACACTGTTATCTTTATCCCGTAGGATTCTGATGATGATGATGATGATGACAATGACGAGAAAGAAAGCAAAAGTGTTGAAGAAACAGCGGAAAAGGAAGAGGAGGCGACGGTGGAAGGGGAGCATACAGAAGAGGAAGTGCAGGTCAAGAAGGATGAGGAGGTGGACTTACTACCGGTATGTTATGCTGTTGGTTGTTTCTTTCACTGTGAAATGAACAAGGTCTTTTGTTTTACTTGGTGAAGTTTCCGCCTCAGTCTACTTCCTCCTAAGGAAGCACGAAACAGTGCCATGGCCAGTCGAGGTCTCTGGAACCTTGTCCAAGTGGTCAGTCTTTGTGTGTGAGTCCAGCCAGTGTGAGTGTTATCAGTCAGTGAGTGACTGGGCAGGGGATATGCCGAGCCCAATCGCAAGAGAGGTTGAGGTGAAGAAGGAACCTTGGCCCATTTCATTTCCTTCTAGAATCCCGACCTTACAGTCACAGCAAATGCTTCTCACATGACTCCAGCATCCTGGTCTGAACCAGCCTCCCTCTGCCCTGTTCCTGTTGTTGATTGCCTCTGGGTAAAGAAATACTCTCCGATATTAGTCCTAAATGGTGCTTTTGTCAAAGGCTTGGGCTGATAAGAAGGGAAGTAATTAAGATACAGAGTTTGGGATGTGTGTAGTAAGCAAGAAGTACTGAATGGCCTGTTCCTATGTAACTAAGAAGATCCCTGGGGGTAGGGGCATGCGGAAAAGTACCCTGACGATCGTGACCTGTTGTTCTTTCCTTTTAGTTACCCTCAGATCTGCTTCCCTTACTCTTCCCTTCTTGCAGTGACTAGGTTTCATGGCTGCCTTTCTATGTCGGTCTCTCACTAACCATTCTTCGTGTGGAGTCTAGACCTCCTCAGGGCATGGAGAGCCCAGATTAGAGGCTAAGCATGTCTTGTCACTGAGCTATCATCAGCAGCTTGCTGATAGTAATTGAGTCTAATGGTAAGACAGACTCTGCTTGCAGTGTCATGATTGTAAATATTTTTCCTCCTGTACGATGTTATAAAAGTTGAACCTAAGCCAGTTCCTGTAAGTTATACTGTTTCTTTCACAATGTGATTCCCTCACCTCTTTGTCCCCAGCCTGCTCCCCTCTTCCACCCTGAACTCTCTATTAACTAATCTTCATTTATTCCTCATGATTAACCCTGGACAGTGAGTGTTAGCCAGCTGTACGATCATACAGTCAGATCTTGGTCTGCACCAGATACACCCATACATATACACTCACACACACACATACACACTCACATACACACACATGCAGATATAATAAATACATATATACAGACACATCATACACACACATGGACATGCGCACACACATATATACAAAGATATACATGCCTAACGTGTAGCTTGAACTCACAACCTTCAGACCCAGAAGTGAGAGTCCTACCAACCAAGCCGCCTAACATTTTATCCTAAAATTACTAGAACATGTACAGGCACACATACAGGCACACAAACATACACACACACTTAAACACAGACACGCACACACATATGTACATATGTACGGACCCTGGCAGATTGTTCCCCTTTCTAACTCAAATGCTCTGAGGCCAACTGTGGTGTAAGAGAGTGGATAGTGAGGAATGGTGATTGCGGATCATTGATGTAGAGAAAGAAAAACGTGTGGGTTGAGGATATTAGAGCCTAGTTAATCTCTGAGTTAATGGAAGAAGAGTCACTGAATGAATCATAAACTAAATCTCATACCAAGCGATGAGACAGGAACTGAGGTGACCTCTGGAGTTTGACTTTGGTGATGGATGTTAAAGCATCCACGGAAGACATAGGCATAGAGAGTAGATGATGCAGGGTTAATCCCCCACAGAAGATACCACAACAACAACTTGCATTTATAGAGCGCCTTCATACCAAGTCTGATAGTGGAGTGGTTGGAGTGGGCTGGCCTCCATCCTGTTTATAGAGTGGTGGACCTCAGCCCCGCCAACAACAACAACAACAAGATTCCAATTATAGAGCGCCTTTCATGTCGGGAGGACGTCCCAAGGTGCTGTACAGTTGGGTCAGGACCCGAGCAAGGGAGAAATGGTCAGGGTGAGGGGAGGGAAGGGAGGGAGCGAGGAGGGGGTAGAGAGTCGAGAGGGGAGCTGAAGGCACGGTCAAAGAGAAAGGTCTTGAGACCGGCCTTGAAGGAGGAAAGGGAGGAGGCAAGGCGAAGGCACTGGGGGATAGAGTTCCAGAGCCTAGGGAGCAAGTCGGAAAGGGAGGGGAGGTGACCGAAGGCATGGTCAATGAGGAAAGTCTTCAGGTGTGATTTGAAAGCAGGCAAAGGCGGATGGATTGAGGCAGGAACTTCCAGAATTCAGGGCATTAGTGGCTGAAAACATGAGCACTGTGGAGCAAAGGGGATGAGGGACATGCAGAAGCTCTAGTATAGTCCAAGACAGTGGGTGATAGAGGCCGCAGTTCCAGCAGCTGTGCTGGGCAGTGATCAGACATGAGAACCTGGTCGACCTCAGCGTTTGAAGCTAAATCTAATGGTTAGACTGAGTTTGTTAGAAGTGCTGCATATTGACTAAATGCTGAGTGACTGTCTCCTTTCTCCCTGTAGGTAACTAACGACGGGCCAGTTACTGTAAGTTTTATACTATGTGATGTACAAGTGCTTTTTGTGAGTTCACCTTGCAACTAGTGTACATGACATGGGTAGAATTTTCTTCTCTTTTCCAACAATGCCGTGGGATCTTTAACACACACCTGAGGGCCAGGCAGCGGGGCTGAGGTCCACCACTATAAACAGGATGGAGACCAGCCCACTCCAACCACTCCACTATCAGACTTGGTCTGTCAGGAGTTAGCCTGTGTGTGGCAGGGGTGCTGTCTAGAGATAAAGACCAGGGATAGGTAGAGATATAGACCTTGGAGCATGGCAAATGGGGAATGAATCTGTTCTTTTACAACAGGAATGAATGGACTGAGATCATAGTTCAAACCTGCACTGAATCATTTAGTCTTGAACCTTGTATTTATTTTCTATTTTTTTCCCTTCTGTAGGAATCTATCTTGGAGGAAGAGAAAACCAAAAGTGTCTTTTTAATATTAATAATCCTTGCCATTAATATGGCACCTATAATGTTGAAATGTCTCAATGTCCATCACAACTAACTGCTGTCATGTACAGTGACAGTGGCTCATGGGGCAACCAATTTGTGCACAGCAATGTCTCAAAAACTTATATGGAGGATTGTCGGCCAGCACACTGGGAGAAACTCCCTTCTTTTTTTGACTAGTGCTGTGGTAATACTTTAATGAACAGGCATACAGGGCTTCAGTTTAATGTTTCATCTGAAGGCCAGCATCTCCAATGATGTTGCTCCCCCAACCTGAACCCAAATATATGTGCTTGTTTTTGCTGCTGTAGTACGCTTATTTGATCCCTGAAGGGGCCGATGTGAATTTTATTTGTTTCTCTCTGTAGGATTCTGCTCTTGATTCTGCTTCTGTTGTCAGTGAACACGAAATTATTGTAAGTGATTTACTTTCGCAATTCTTTTACTTACCTGTCTCCTCCCTCTTCTCCCCACCCCCTCTCACATCTTTCTCAGTTTCACCCCTTCGCTTTCCAAAGATGCTGACGAGTGCTGACATGTTTTGGGTACACAGTCCCTGGCCAGCACCTGTCACAGAGAGGCTGTTCTTCACTCTCCAGAGGGACCACGAGGGTTGGATACCTATCCAAGGTTGAGTTTGGGGGTGGAGTTGGAGGGAGTAGGTAGGGGTGGGGGTGCGGCCGGGGGAGAATCAAAGCTTGTGATGAACATATAACATTTGTGGATGATAGAATGCCTCTATAACATCAAACATCAAAAAGAATAAGAGAATATTTTATTTTCTGCATTGTAAAGAGTACAGGTGTTGGCCTCAAATAAATGGGGAAAAATTCAATTTTGGTTTATGGCCAGCGTCTTTCTCAGTCTTTCTTCACTTTTCCCATTGGTGGCTGACATCCCCAAAGGTGCTAGCGCTGAACAGATTTTCGTGCCTTACAATTTACATTTAGATAGCGCCTTTCACATCAGACTGTCTTAAAGCATTTACAAAACTAGCTGGGCTCAAGTGCGGTCATTGAGCTATGTTTTGAGGCGGGCTTTAAAAGTGGGCAAGGAGGGGGTGAGTTGGACAGACTCCGAGGCGGAGTTCACAGAGAGCAGAGTTAGAATGGCTGAAAGCTCGGCCACTGATGGTCAGGAGGACCACATCAAGGGGTGAGTGTGGGTCTCAAGCTCAGAAGGCAGAGGAACTAGGTAACATTGTAAATTACACAAGAGAATAGGATAGGTATTTAATGGAGGTGGGATAGTGGCAGGGTGTGAGAGATGGGGTGTGGCAGGTACATAATCAGTACTTTAGAATCTTTAACCTGATTGTGTACATTCCTGTAATCTTGTGACTGTAAATGTTCAATCCATGTGCTTTGCAGCAACCATCAAGTGAAGCTGAGAAACAGATACCACACGTGAGTCACAGTTTGGCTACTAACCCCCTCTCTCCCTCTCCCCAAGCCCTCACCCAGTATCCAGCTTTTACTACCTATGTGATCACGATTCCTAAAGCTTCGGGGCATCCTACCAATCTTTTAAAAGGGAATTCTTTTAAAAGTGGAATCCTGTAGCTCAGTGATAAGAGCGCTCGCTTCGTAAGTGAGAGGATCTGGGTTCGATTCCCAGGCAGGGCAAAACGTTGGGCAAGTTTCCTTACTCCACACACCTCTTTACCAAGCAGTAAGTAGGAACCCGGTTGTTATTTTATTGGAGGATCACTTTTCTGGGGGTAACAATCCCTTCAAAAAAGAAAAAATAAGTTGATCAATCCACAATTGTTTGTGGGACACTGCTATATGCAATTGGCTGCTGCGATTTGCCACCAAAATACACAGTCAATTCATTTTAGAGTAAATTCTGTGAAGAGCTTTGAGACGTCTCCACCACTGCCTCTGCCCTCAGGCTGCTGAAACACTCATCCATGTATTTATTACATCTAAGCTCGACGAAGCCAAATCCTTGCTTGAAGGCCTGCCCAATTTTTCCTCTACAAGCTGCAGATCATCCAGAAATCTGCAGCTCGCGTCCTGTCCCGCACCAGGCTCCATGACCTATCAAACCCACCATCACCCGACTCTACTGGCTCCTGAATCTCCCAGAGGATAGAGTTTCAACATCCTCGTCCTTGCCTTCAAGGCCCTCCACAGCCTTGCTCCTTCCTACCTCCTAACCTCATATCAACCTGTCCAGTCCCTCCGCTCAATCGGCGGTCGGCCCTTCAGCTTCTCTCCCCCGTCACTCTTTGGAACTCCATCCCACAGTCCCATCGTCTTGCTCCCTCCTTTGTCTCCTTCAAAACATGTCTCAAGACCCTCATCTTTGTCTGAGGATTTGGCCACCCTCCTACCCTCCACCCCTTTGATCCCAAACCCCTGCTCGGGTCCAGATCCCTGACTGTCCAGCACTTCGGGTTGTCTTCTTGATGTGAAAGGCGCTTTACAACTGCAAGGATTACTATTATTAGTTGGATAGAGCCGTGAAAGAGAGGAATGTTAAAGGGAATGGGGAGTGAGTAGGAGGGTGGATCTAGCACGGGCTGGATGGCTGGGGGCCTGTTCTGTTTCTGTGCTGTATCATCGCTGCTGCCAGTGAAGTTATCAGCATTTCTCCAATTGCAACTGGAGATCTGACACAAGGAGGCCACATGGTGGGGTAGCAGCAGAGACAGCTCGACTCTGAATCTGTCTATAACAGGCAATCCCATTACAAAGGTGTGGTGAAAAGAAAAGTATTTTTAGTCAATCAGTGTGTGGAACCTTCAATGAGTGTTGAGCAAGTATTGAGGCTGCTAAACTGTTCCACCAGGGGAGGGGGAAAGAGGAAGAAATCAGGGTTCAAACCCACTGTATAAAATGGTTATACTTGTGTTTGATATGGAGCCGTTCACATTCTGGACATCGCAAACACTTCACACAATGGGAGGGGGGCTTAAATATATGTTGAACTCACCACCCCCAGCCAACATCTGATTCCTACGTTTCTACAAGCAGTAACTTAATTACAAAGGTGTAGGACAAAGAATGGTCATTTAAAGCAATTGTGATGTTAGATCCTTCAATGAGTTAGTTGGAAGTGAAGTGACTGGGAGTGCTCGACACGCTGGTGGTCAGTTGCTCCTTCTCTTTTCAGGCACTCTCTTTATTCCGGAGGATCGCTAGGGAGGTGTGGCTCATGTGCCGAATCTGCATGAGGTTCCGTGTAGGTTCTAGCTACTTCATGGAGAACTTGAAGACCGACACAGGCTACGAGGGCGAGTCGGACGAAGAGGTAACTTAGGAATGTTGAGGATAAAGATTGAGTGCTCAAAGATTTGTGTGTCTGGTTCAGTTGGTAGCACTCTCATCTCTGAGTCATAAGGTTGTGGGTTCAAGACCTACGTCGGAACTTGAAACTCACATCGTCTAAACTGATATTCCATTGCAGAGCTGGTGATGTGCTGCATTGATGGAGGTGCCGTCCTTCAGATGAGACATTAAACAGGTCCCGTCTACCTGTTCAGGAGGACGTTAAAGATATTTGAAAAGAGGAGTCCTGGCTAACAATTCCCCAGACAAAATTCAACATTCACTTCATAGCTGTTTGTAGGAACCCTCTCGGGTGCAAATTGGTTGTCGCATTCAACCACAAAACGCACAATCACTGCACTTTACAGTATACCCTGTGAGTCATTTGGCATGCATTATGTCCTCTTGACATGAAAGGCAGAATCCTAAATGTATGGACTATTACAAATATCTTTGACTGAAGGTATAATCTTTGGCTGTTGATTCAAGGCTGGCTTTTGCCCTGATTTTATTCATAAACTCGCAAGAAAGGTACGATTAGTGAAGGCCCTTTTGATCACATCCTTCTGAATACCCAACTTAGCTTCCCATTGCAGCTTCCAGCTGCTTCTGAAATGAGTTATCCTTCATACAGTAGCAAGGACGTCAGGCTGCCTTAGTTGACAGCACTATGACCTCTGGGTCAAAATGTTGTGAGTTTAAGCTGGCACTCCAGTGATCACTCTGCATTGTGATCAAGTTTTACTCTACAAAAGGACAACTATGTATGTGAACAATTAGGCCCTGAAATTTCACCTGTGTTTTTGCCTTTAAGACCAGTTTCTTTCAAAATCTATGATGAGGCAGAATTGGGAAAAATTCTTAATTTCAGTCTTAATTTGGAAATGGGCTATTTTTTTTAATAACTATGGGAAAAAAAACAGCTTCCAAATTAAGACAGGATTTAAGAATTTTCCACAACTCTGCACAATAGTAAATGTTATGTTCATATTCTCACATGGTAAGACTGGATGGAATTTCAAGACTGCAGGGATTGAAAGGCTCATAAACCATTTTATTTCCACTGTGTTCTACAGGATAAAGAAGAAGAATCTGCAATCAGCTTTGACGTAAACTATTTCAAGCCAAATAAGGCAAGTGGTTCTCTTTCTTTACTCGGTCAGACTAGACAGTTATCCAACAAGTAGCATTTGCACATTGTTTAGTTCTGTTCGAACCAACTCAATTCATCCACTCTTCCCTGCTGTTGGACCCTGTTATAACATTGTGTTTTGGATCCATAAAATTACACTCTGTGTTAGAGCTCATATGGTATAAAAAATGGCTGTTGTTCAGCATTTCCTTGTCCTCAGGTTGCCAGCGATGTCACTTCCTGCATTCTGCTCCTGTGTGTTATGCCCCCCCCATCTCAGATCCCATTGATGTTCCCTTCATATAAAGATGGGAATATTTGGGAATATTTGCAACAGACCTTTTAACTTATTTGTGTCCTGCAGAATAGATTGGCTTACAAAATGGTCAAGATCGCCAAGAAACATCCTGAGTGGAGAACACGTGAGGAATTGGAGTCGCTATGCAGTGTTCTGAGATCTTTGATATCCATCAGACACTGTAGCAAACCCTATCAACTTGTGCTGGCAAAAGTGATGAGATATGAACGGTAGGTGATCCGTTAGCTGAGCATTGATAAGATGTTCAGCACACCTGCTGGTGTCAGCCTGGCTCTGGGTCAGGTTGTGAGTTCAAGCACCATGTCAGAACTTGGAATTCATATAGTCTAGATTTACACTACAATGCATTGTTGAGGCAGTTTTACACTGAGGCCTCGATTGCCTGTTTGGTGTCATAAATATTCCACGAGATTATTTGAAAAATGAAGGAAGCTTCTCCCGGTGTCCTGGCCAACATTCCATAAAATAAAATTGGTTATTCACTTTATGGTTGTGTGAGGACATTACTGTGGCTGCTGTGTTCACCTACAAATATACAGTCACTCTACAGTAATCATCTGTGAAGCATATTGAGAACTTTCAATATTGAAGGCACAAAGTCAAAAGACTTCTTAAAGAAGGCACATATAATAATAGTAATCCTTGCATTTAATATAGCATTTGATATTGATCCTTATCACGTTTTTGAGATATCTCAAAGTGCTTCATGGAGTACACTGTAAAGTGAATTGACTATATATTTTGTGGGCAAACGTGGCAGCCAATTGCGCACAGCAGTGTCCCATAAATTGTCATGGATTGAACTTTCCAATTTATTGGGTTTTTTTGAATTTTTTTTGAAGGAATTATCACAACCAGATTCCTACTCACTGCTAGGTAAACAGAGGTGTGTGGAGTAAGGAAACTTGCCCAACATTTCGCTCTACCGGGAATCAAACCCAGGTCTCTCACTTGCAAGGTGAGTGCTTTAACCACTGAGCTACAGGACTCCAGTGGTATAAGTATGGGAGCCCATGGAGCTTGGCAAGGATAGGGGTAATGGGTGTGCAAGAGGAACAAAGCGGAGATGTGTTGTAACAATGTACGTGTACCTCAGTTCTTCAGGATCTAGTTATTTACAAGAGTAAATACGAGACGACCGGGTTCGATTCCCGGCGGGGTGAAACCTAAGGTAAGCCTCTGTTTACCTAGAAGTAAGTAGGAACCCGGTTGTTAGTTGATTGGTGGATTACTTTCCAGGGGTAATAATCCCTCAAAAAAAATAATTGCTTATTCAATCCACGACTGTTTGTTGGGGCACTGCAATGCGCAATTGGCTGCTGCATTTCAACCACAAAATACAGTCAATCCACTTTACAAGTCAATATTCTGTGAGGCGCTTTGAGACGTCTCAACGACTGTGATAAGGTGCTATATTAAATGCAAGCATTATAAAAATGCAAGGATTAAATTGGCTCCTCTTGCAATGGACACGTATCATAGAATCATAGAATATTGGGGCACAGAAGAAGGCCATTTGGCCCATCTTTGGAAGAGCTACCCAATCAGTCCCACTCCCCTGTTCTTTCCCCATATCCTTGCAATTTTTTTCTTTTCAAGTACCTATCCAATTTCCTTTTGAAAGTTATTATTGAATCTGTTTCCACCATCCTTTCAGACAGTGCATTCCAGACCGTAACAACTCTCTGTATAAAAAAATGGCCTCATCTCCCCTCTGGCTCTTTTGCCAATTGTCTTAAATCTACATCCCCAGGTTACCAACCCAGTGGAAACAGTTTCTCGCTATCTACTCTATCAAAACCCATCATCATTTTGAACACCTCTATTAAATCTCCCCTTAACCTTCTCTGCTGTAAGGAGAGCAATCTCAGCTTCTCTTGTCTCTCCACATAACTAAAGTCTCCCATCCCTGGTACCATTCTGATAAATCTCCTCTGCACCTTCTACAAGATCTTGATATCCTTCCTGAAGTGTGGTGCCCAGAATTTCACACAATACTCCAACTGAAGCCTAACCAGTGACTTATAAAGGTTTAGCAGAACTTCCTTGCTTTTGACTCTATGCCTCTATTTATAAAGTCAAGGAGCCCATATGCTTTTTTAACAGCTCTATCAACCTGTCCTGTGACCTTCAAAAAACCTCTGTATGTGAACCCCCAGGTCTCTCTGCTCCTGAACCCCCTTTAAAACTGTATGATTTAGTGTATATCGCCTCTCCTCATTCTTCGACCAAAATGCACCACTTCATACTTCTCTGCATTACATTTCATCTGCCATGGTTCTGTCTGTGCACCAGTCTGTGCATGTTCTCCTGCAGTCTGTAACCATCCTACGTGGTATGGTATGGTTTACTACATTCTCAAGTTTTGTGTCATCTGCAAATTTTAAAATGTTGCTCTCTATACCCAAGTCCAAGTTGTTTAAAACAAGAATAGAAGTCGCTGAGAACACTCAGCAGGTCAGACAGCATCTATGCAGAAAGGAAAGTGAGTCAACATTTCGGGTCCATGACCCTTCATCAGAACAGTTCTGATGTCCAGCATCTGCAGCATTTTGCATTTTATCCAAGTTGTTTATGTCCATATATACTATATCAACTGCACTACCTTCATCATTCCTCTCCATTAATTCATCAAATAACTCAATTAAGTTTGTCAGAAATGATTTGTATTTAACAAATCCGTGTTGACTGTTATTAATTAACTTATGTTTTTCCAAGTGAAAATTAATTTTGTCCCGGATTTTAGTCTCTAGAAGCTTTAATGACTGGGGGAGGGGCCATGGACTGGATCAATAGAAAAGTGTGGGCGCACTTTCCTGCACTTTCCACTTCAACAGTCCTTGTCTGCTACAAACCCACGACAAACAGCCCCTCAGGTACTAACCTTCACACACAGTGCGTTAAGCCCTAGGCCTCTTTCCGCTGTTTGCTCATCACTGCTACTATGGCCGGAGCGAGCATCGTGATGAGTTATGGGATTGTGGAAGTGGCGGGAAATCAACTTCGCTGGTGAGTAAACCTCAATAGAAAAGCAGCTGCGTCACACACTACTGCAGTGAATTCTTGGTAAGTGCTGTACTGTTCAAATTAAAATAGTTAGTATTTTAAACATGACTAAATTTTCAGGAAATATATACCTATGGTTTTAATCAGGGTTGTTTCACTTTTTAGGTTGTACAATACTAAAATGTTCAAACGTTTTTGTAAATCCCGTGAGGAAGCCAAGGGGCAGCATGTCTCATTTTTCCATCCAGATGACCTTTATGAAGAAGGGGGGCAATTGTTTTGCTGCGTTTGCTGTACTTGAGACCATATTCTCAAGTACACCATTGATGAGCACATGAAATCGCATCGGCAATAAAGAAACAAAATGGTAAAATACTTTTAATGTATATAATATGAAATGAAAATGTATCATTATTTACTTTCACTTTAGTTTTGATAGAAAATCTTAATTTGTATGATTACTAAAGTTAATCTCCCTCCTTTTTGATTGAATTTTAAAAGCACATAAAATAACCACAGCAAACAAAAAGAAATAGACAGAACATTTCTAATGACAAATGAATCATAAATATCAATTTTTATTTTTTCCTTTCTAGGTGGATCTGGACCTCAAAGACAACTTGCTCTGACAACCTGCTTCTCTAGAGGTACTGCATCATCTATGGAGAGAAAATAATTCATATTTGACTTTTTGCGGTGTTTGACTAGAGCAGACATACTACTTGAAAAAGCTCCTGCCATCCAAGAGTTTCTATGCAAGTACATGAAACAGGGAGAGACTATTCCAACACCATCACAGCTTTGTAATACATACTTGAAGGAGCTTACTCCTGAGAATGAAGCGTTTTTGAAGAAACATGTTGAGTACACGGATGTGTACTTGTTCCTGGATGAGACCACTGATTCCAGTGGGCACAGTGTTCTGGCAGTGCTGGCACAGCCACTGCAGAAAGTTGGGAAGAAGCCTCTTCGTATTGGAGCAGAATTCTTGCAACGAGACAATCATGCTGCTGTGTCACAACCTCTTCTAAGAGTCTTGTATGTAAAAATTGTTAATTTTGATAAAGTGCTTGCAGTTGTCACAAACAGTGCAAGTTACATGATCAAAGCATTTAACACAATTTTGCCGGGATTGTTTCCTAACGGAATACATATTACATGCATTGCCCTTCTTCTGAACTTGATTTTGGAAATTTGTCCTGTAATACTGGAGGACTTAAACACAGTGGCTGCTATGATCAAGAAAGTCTTCTGCCAAAGTCCAATCCGCCGGCCTCAGTACTTGGAATTTATGGAGACAAAGGTGGGAATTAAATCACAGATGTCAGTCTTTGCTGTTCAGACATGTTGATGCTCCTGGGTGAAGGCTGTTGAATATTTGTATGTGTACTTGCCTCTCTTGGCAGAGGCCTTATCAGTGAAAAAAATGAATACGCTCTTGAACAATAATGCTGCAGAATTGCAAGCCCAAGCAACCTTTGTCACAGAGCTCTCATCAGAGCTCCTAAAACTCATTAAAGAATGTCAGGCAACAGCTGTGTCTAGGGCCACAATCTGTACTTACAGGTGCAAAATTTACATTTTATTGATTTATTTACCACTGCTGGAGCACAGGAGTACAGACCAAAAACATGGAAAAGTTGCAGCCTGTTCTGAGGCATGTTTTCCAGAGAATCAAGCAAGACAGTAGTGAAAATTTGGGACTGGTTTGGAAAAGCATCCGTTAAATACAACCTATAAAGCAGTTTGTATTTTTGATCCCAACCAGCTAGCAATAATGGATACTGAAAAAGACTTGTATAGTAACGTGATTCCTGCCCTTTCAACTATTTAAAACTTCGAATGGCATTCTTATAAAGCAGCTGGATAAAATATCCCAGCTAACCACAAAATAGCCGCACAGTGGAGAGCTCAGCCTGAGCCACTTGTGATGCTTGCTAAAATTGCAAAAAGGTACATTTGGCTACCAGTGAGCACAGCTGATGTCAAAAGGTTATTTCTGTTTATTCAGACCTCCTCAAAGATAATAGACAAAGCCTAACAGAAGAAAATATAAAGATTCTTCTCTTGTTAAAATTTAACCAGCACTAAACTTTTGCCTGAGAATTTTTTGTTTGCTTCTCTAAAAATTTGATTTTGAAAATGTTTATTTCTTTGCAAAGTGTTGAAACTGCATTTTTGCATCTTTTGAAAGGTGTTAATGTTCTGTTTTTGTAAATGAAAATATGAATAAATAGATTTTTCCAATAATCTCTGATGTGTTATTTCTCCATGTTTAGTTTTTAACAATGAAGAAAGAGAAAAAATGTAGGTTAGCAGCAAAATGCGTCTTTCAATAGCACCAAACCACCTTACGCATTTTCCTGCAAAATTTAGCAAACAAACCTGCAAAGCGCCCCACTATTTTTGCAAATATTTCCGCACTTTTCTATTGGCCCAAGTCATGGGGTACGTATTGACATTCCCAATAATCAAGCCGAGAACGCTTTGAGGATCAATGTTAAATGGATTGATTTATCCAGAACTACTAGAACTAAAGCTGGTGTGATTGGTGTTGTTTTCTAACATGTCATTTTTTCAATTTGCTCATGGAACAGATGAACATAGGCACAGGAGTAGATCACTCAGCCCCCTCAAGCCTGTTCCACTATTCTTTTAGATCATAGCTGATCTGTACCTCAACCCCAAATACCCGCCTTTGCCCCTTATCCCTTACATAACAACATTTTTGTAGGTAGAGTCTTCAATGAAAGCACTCTGGACTTTGAATCAGACGGTTTTAGGTTGAAGCCCCACATATAGTCTAAGATGACATTCCAATGCAGTGCTGTGGGGATGCTGTATTGTTGGAGATGCCATCCTTCAGATGAGATTGTTCAAGTGGACGTTAAGTAACCCGTGTAAAAGGTGCACTTATCAGATGAAGAATTATTATTAACAATATTATGCAGGGTGGCTTGGAAAGTATTCCACGTAGCTCAGCAGATTCAGCACCTGACTTGGCAAGCCAGAGGGTGTTGAGTTCAAATCCCAATATGTCCAATTCAGCTCTTCATGTTTTCAAGATGATTGTTTAGCAGCTGAATGTTTTTCAACATCACATTATAGAAAATACATCAGAGCTCTTGGAGAGGGTGAATCAGAGATTCACTAAAGTGATCCCAGCGATCAAAATGATATAGTTGTGATCAAAGGCTTGAAAACTGAAGCAATTTGAACACAACAACTTGCTCATATATGGCGCCTATTACATAGGAAGTTGTCTCAAAGTGCTCCACAGGCATTTAAAAGGAAATTCCATCACAATTTGAAGAACAAAGATATAGCAAGATAACAAGATCATAAGATTATTTCTGATAAAGAAAGCCCATTGGCTTATCCTTCCAGAATACTCACCCAACTGTCTTCCCATCATAGCATCGGGCTGTTTTTTTTAAAAATGAGTCCAGTGTTCTGGCCTCAACCACCCTTCCTGGCAACCTAAAGAAAAACTTCCTGGTGTCAGTCCTGAAATTATCCTTTACAACTTTAAATCTAGAAACCTCTTGTTCCATTGTCTTGTTGTATCCTAAAGTGGGTTTACTTCATCAATCCTATTTACAATTGTATACATGCAGACAAGGTCCCCTCTGAGACCGCAACATGTGGAGAGGAGGGTGAGAATGGGGGGGAGGGGTAAAGAGAAGCAAATGCCACTCTGTTCATCCAGTTTGTTGTACCTGTCTTAGCTATAGGAGGAGGAGGATTGTACTAAAGAGAGGTCACTATCCACAATGCTGCTATTTTGTATTCTCTGGTGGAATCTCCTTTACTCTGGACGTGGATGGGAGCTCGGCATTTGAAAATGAGCAGTCTCCTCACTTGCAAAAGGGCGGCAGATTTGGAGTGAGTACTTTCAATGTTATCGCAGTTCCATGACCTGAAATTCCACCTAATCTTAGCCCATACTGTCTTAATAATTAAGACCCCACAGAATTGTAGAATGTTGTCAGAATCATTTGAAAGAACTGCAAAAAGAGTTTGAGCTCATAAGAGTGAATTTTCCAAAGGCTAAGACCAGATGGAATTTTGGGTCCTGTGGGAGGGTAATATCTAGGGTGGGGGAAATGAGAAGGGATGCTGGGAGTTACTTGCATAACAAGGCACCTGAACCTTTATTCAATGTCATCTGACTTCAAAACAAGAACATGATGAGGAATAATGCTCCATTGGAGGGTAAGAGTTGAAGAGATTAACTCTCCAAATCCTTTAGATAGTTGTATTTTGTTTTGTGTCTCAAGTTTCGTGCAGTAAGCCTTATATTTCATGGTACCTATTCAGCGAGGACCAACCTACAGGTTAAGGCTTGAACTTGTAGGATTGAGGACACGTGGTTACGTCTGAGTCTCATTGATGTTTATACAATTTGGGTAATCATCACCAGTAGCTTTGTTTAAAGTGCCTCCTTGGAGCTATGTCAACCTCAGGGAGACCTGCTTATGCCTACCTCTCCACCTCAACCTGGTGTGTTAACAGCTTCTCCTCCGCTTGGGCCCTGCAAACAGCGAGCTGTGAACTATCGTTTTGTGGGCAAGTCCACACGTCAGGGTCTCATTATTGATTCAAACAGGCCTGTGCAGGTGAATGTGCTTCAAATCAGCCTCAGGATTGGTGACATTTAGTGAAGAATGTGACGTGTTCTTACTGTAGATGTAAGGCAGTTGGTAATAGCCTTTTTCCTTCCGCAGGTTATTCCTCTCTTGAAAAACCGAAGAAGACAGTACACGGCAGTCTGCATGGAGGAGACTGAGCTGATGGTTGTGGATAAAGAAGATTTCTATGCCTACAAACTGAATGAACCACTACAACAAGAGTCTGTCTTTCGATTTCAATTTTTCAGGTTGGTGCAGGACTGGTTGGATACCTCTTTCAAAGAGCCAGTGCAGGCACGATGGGCCGAATGGCCTCTTTCTGTGCTGTACAGTTCTATGATTTTATGTATCAGTCTAGAGTACTACAAACTAAGCCAAGCTGACACTTACAATCAAGTATTGGGGTTGGGGGTGGGGGCTGCATGTTTTCTTATGTCTTCATTCATTCTTCCAGATCACTGGAGCTTCTAAGTTCAGTGTCTGACCAACACATTGAGATATTGTGTGATAGTTCGTCAACAGAGGAGTTCCTTTATGGTCAAGTTATTCCCCACGATGGGCACACCATTATTTTTGTAATAAGTGTAAGTAATCAAACAAAAGGGGAAACAGAAGAGTTCCCATTGGCTTAGTGGGTAAATGCACCATGCAGTGAGGTACTGGGCCACAAAGTACAATGTGTGAGCCATGCTGACCTAGCTGATCTAACCTGGGGCAATGGGGAGGTGTTATAATTAGCCTACAAAAACAATTTATAATAATAATAATCTTTACATTTGGTATCCCATATTTCACTCCTGGAGGATGTCCCATAGTGCTTCACACGATATAATAATAATAATCCTTGCATTTGATACAACGCCTTATCACGTCATTGAAACATCTCAAAGTGCCTCACAATATACTGTAATAAAGTGAATTAACTGTATTGGAGTATCAGCCTGGACTGTGAGCTCAAAGTCATGATAATAATAATAATTCTCTTAAGGAAGCACCCTTAAAACTAAAACATAATTCTTAGTTTTAAAAACTAATAATAATAATGAAAAACTAAGATTGAAACATCAAGCAACACGATACGATAGCTGGAATTTTCTCTGTCGCTGAACTGTCATTTCAGGGTCATTTCATTGTCCTACGGCTTGTGGATCTAACAAAATGTAGCAGTTACCACAAGTGGATTCATCAGGAGTTGCCATGTCTGAAAAAGATCATGTCCTTTGTCTCACCAGAGGCTGGTGAGTAACAGAAACAGTTGGCTCAGTTAAGACATGGGTTTGGTTTTATGAATAGACGTGTTCCCTCTCGCTGTGGATGTCACTGGTTCAACTGAGCCAACACTGAGAACAAAGAAAACCAACGTGAGTTTACATTTCTAAAAGGAAGTTAGTGGAGTCTGGCTAATACATTGGGATCCACTTTTTCTGCTGATCCATGCTGTCAGATAGAGTGTAAGTGCTCTTTTACTATGATTGTTCCTGTAGCTTCCCAGTGCATATGATTTAAACTACACTGAATTCTGCGGGATTGTCAGTCAATTTTAATCAATTTGTTTCTTGTTAAGAGTTGAGAGTTTGCCTCCACAGCCAATCTCTTAACAGCAGCCTATCTACATATTTGTAGGAAATGCTATTGTCTTTTAGCCATTACACATATCTTTTATCAATTCGTTGGACCTTCCTTTGAGAGGATTTTCCATTGAAGATGCACTTTCCGAATCCTTAGGTAAAATCTGTGAGTCTTGAGCAGATCAAATGCTCCCATTAGTGATGTCCTATTGACTGCACTTGCGGTGGCTGAATCAAAAACAACAACTTGCATTTATATATACCGGCCTTGTAGGATGTAGGATAACATCTCTAGGTGCTTCACAGGGTCGGTATTGGATGCTGAACAAGGGGGGTGGTGGGGAGAGAGAAGGTGACAAGGCATGTTCACAGAGGTAGGTTTTTAATTATTTTACCTGTCTACCTTTACACTGAAAGGTTCATTCTTTGATTTGTACCAAACTTTCCATTAGAGAAGGTTCTTCCACACATTCACAGAGACATTCCACCTTGCCTTTTAATGGGAAACTTGATGCAGAGCTCAAAGAACTGCCAAATGATAAACATATTATAGCAAGGGCTTAATGCTATCTATGAGAGCCATTATCATAGAAACATAGAACATAGCAATCTACAGTGCAGAAAGAAGCCATTTGGCCCATTGAATCCACTCAGCTCACAGGGCAATTTCAATCCCACCGCCTTGCCTTATCCTTGTTCCCCTTCAATCCCCTCTCTTTCATATACCTGACTATTTCCTTCTTGAAAGTAGCAAGATACTATTGATAGATTAAGTGGAATTCCAATGTGGTTAACACAGTTGTGAACCACAGCGGGTACAATTTGGTTGACCCGACAGAGAAATTGAGAAGAAACCTGATGGAGGTTTTTAAAATTATAAGTGATTGGAAAATATGGATGGTGGGGGTGGGGGAGTGAATGGGGCAGATATAGATTATAGATTGGGGGAGGCGAGTGATGATCTGACAAAGGCATAAAGGGAGAAGTCTGGAGAAATTTCTTTATCCAGAGAATTGTTAGGAAGTGGAACACCCAATCTGGAGGCTTGTTGAAACACAACCCATATTTTTTTAGAGGGAATTAGATAAATATTTTAAAAAGAGAAGTATCAAAGGGTACGTGGGAAGGAAAAGCTGAATGGGACTAAATGGACAGCTCCTTCAGGGAGCTGGCACAGACATAATGGGATTGCGATGGTTCTGACTCCTTGATGTACGTGCGAATTTTAGTAATGCTTCCGTACTAAGTAAGTGGCCTTTGTTCTCTCCTAACCCTATCGGTGTGAGTCCCTGTTTCAAAGGTGACTCAACCGAGTCGGAGTCACACACAGACCGGTATTCCCGGTTAACTCCAATGCCTGGAATGTCTAATCAGAATCTGTTCACACTAGCAGAACTCTGATGTCGACAGCTACTCTTTCTTGTTTTAGAATATTACAGAGAGTCGAGGATACATTCAGTAGAAACAACAGCTCTTTATTAAGACCCAGCAACCCTCGGCTAACTTGCATATAAAGAATACAACAACTTAAGATATTCAACAATGGGATCAAATATAACTATCACACATAACTGTAACAAAGATTAGTAAAGATATATTAAACCAACCTGACTGTACAGTAGCCCTGTACATATCAGTACGTACCAGATGACGACCACTAGTTAGCGACCAGAAGGAGTGCTGAGCATTGGTCTTTCTAGGCGTGTGGCTCCGCCACCGTATGACGCGAATGCGAGGGCTTTTTCCCGCGCTGATGCCCACGTGCAATTCCACTCTCCAGGCTGCATGTTAACTGACTGTCAATCAAACAGCCCTGGACCTATGCATTGTTGCAAGTTGTGTACCTCATGTACCCTGTTGGCTAAGTCTTTTGCACATAGCTTCTGCCACAGAACCCATTTAAAGGAGCAGGCCTTTCCATTTCCCTTCAAAACTATTATATAGTTGGTATAGAATCAAAAGAATCATAGAATTACACAGCACAGAAGGAGGCCATTCGGCGCATCGTGTCTGTACCGGCTCTTTAAAAAGAGCTACCTAATTCAATCCAACTTCCCCGTTCTCCCCCCGAGGCCCTGCAAACTTGTCCTCCCCAAATAATTATCTATTTCTATAATATATGTAATATATATATATTATCTACACATTACTAAAGACTGCAAGAATATGGTAACCGTGACAGGATGAATGGTCTCCAAGTATTCTCAACAAATTTCTCTCTTTGCAGCAGACACAGAAAACCATAAGGGATTCACCGACAAAAAATCCTCTTCGACCAGGGAAGCAGGAAAAGGAAGATCAGAATTTCCTAAAATAGTGAAAGATCGCAACGCCGCCGGAGCAGGCAGGCGCTTAACTATAGCTGAATCAGGGATTGCTGAAGCCTCGCAACCTTCAAGCCGGAGAGCAGGTTTTCCTTTTATGTTCAGGGGGTACGCTGACTTATTTGCTTTGTATTGAATTTCCACACAATAGCTATAGGATGCATTTATAAATGACAAGAATGTTGTTGTACTATTGTATATATTTTTTAACTTTGATGGATCACAATGATGGTTTCCAAGTCCTGTTCCTAAGAAGATGTCACCTTAGCTCAGTTTGTAGCACTCTCACCTCTCATCAAAAGGTTGTTTGTTCAAACCCCATGTTGGGATTTTGCGCTCATAACCTAGACTGACATTCCAATGCGCACTGCATTGGTGGAAGTGCAGTCCTCTGGGATGAAATGTCTCCTGTTCAAGTGGATTGTATGAGATTGTTTGAAAAGAGAAGAGTTTCTGCTGGTGGCCTGGTCAACAAGCATTAAATAAAAGTTGTCATGGTTGTAAATTGGCTGCTGTGTTATCCTATAAATTCAGTCATTGTAATTAATAAGATGGCAGCCTGGCTCAGTTGGTGTTACTTTTACCTCTGAGTCAGAAGGTTTTGGGTTCGAGCCCCACATTTTTACTTTTAGCTCAAAGTCTAGGCTGATATTCCAGTGTAGTACTAGGGGAGTGTTATATTGTTGGAGGTTCTGTACTTTGAATAAGACTGTTTGGTGGAGGTTAAAAATTCCAAAATGCTAATAGAAAAGAGAAGGAAGTTTCTTCCAGTGTCCTGGCCAATATTCCCTCAGATGATATTGCTCATTCACTTCATGGCTATTTATCAGAAATTGCTGTTTGCAAGGGGGCTGCCGGGTTTGCCCACAAAACACACAGTTCACTGCATTTTACAGTATATCCTATGAAGCTCTTTGCAAAGTGAAAACATGATAAGGCGCTAAATTGCAAGATCTTAATGGAAAAGTAGTAATATTAATTCAAAGCCTTTAGAATTCATCTGCAATTTCAACAAGAAAACAGATTGATTTTTTGTATCCCATCATGCTCTGTCATGCTTTAATGTGCAGCTCCCTTTGCCAATAGGTTGTTGGGGGAGAAAGAATCTCAGAGAAAATATTCTACAAAGTTGGTTTCCTCCCCCTACGGAGAAGTCCCTCTGGGCCTGGCAGTGGCTATCTTCATGAGGATAGATACAATTCAGCCAACAGAAGTTTATGTAAGTGTGACTTTTTGCCTTGCTTGGTACAGTGCGACTATCACGGCATGTGACCAGAGTGGGTTTATTATTGGTAATGTCTTGGGAAAGGTACTGACACCCAATGAGTGGAAAGTTATAACAGATCTCCTGGCTAGAAAAAGCCCAGTGTGTAAGACTGAGTAGGAGGCATAGTACAGTCCACTTCTCAACTGAGCTAGAAATTTCTGAATAATATACATCTGACAAAATGCTGCACAAACAACTGATTCCTTCTCTCGGATTCCAATTCCCTCTCTCAGCTCATGGGACACCATGAAGTTTGATGGTTTGGGTCAAGAATTGTGAATTTATTGAATTTGGGACAACTGTTCACTCTCTGTCCATTATCACAGAAGCCATTAAAGTCTGAGTTCCCTCCAAGCACAGGATAAACCCACTCCCCACTCCATTGGCCCAAATAGTCTTAGCCTGTAATTCCACTTAGTCGTAGCCTGAAAGGCCATTTTGTCATTGCTAATTGATCCTTCGCCTTATGGCTGTTTGTGGGACATTGTCATGTGCAAATTAGCTGTTGTGTCCACCTACAAATATACACAGACACTACTTTTTACAGAATAAAAAGCCTTTTGTGACATTCTCCGTGTGATAAGGTGCTGTGTCAAATGATTGTTGTTATCAATTTATCTTGAAATTAAGAGAATGCAGAATTGTGAAAGGTTCATAATTTGATTGATTTGGGAGCTAGTTTCTCTTTAAAAACAGCTTCAAATTCATTGCTATATTTAGGAACTTTTCCCATTTCTATGCTATCTTACAAATTTGATGGCAAAAGAAGCTAAGACTGTGTGGAATTTCTACAGCTTTGATGGTCCTGCAAGTATTGAAATATTTGGTGTAAGAACATAAAAAATAGAAGCAGGAGTGGGCCATTCGGCCCCTTGAGCCTGCCCCGCCATTTAATAAGATCATGGCTGATCTTCCAACCTAATTCCATTTACCTGCCCTATCCCTATATCCCTTAATCCCTTTAGATTTTAAAAATCTATCTTAGTCTTGAATATGTTCAATGACTGAGCATCCACAGCCTTCTGGAGTAGAGAATTCCATAAATTTCATAAATTTCATATCCTGTTGTGTCTTGCCATCGGGGCTTCGTGACACCTGCACATGCATCTTGGTGTAGCACCACAGATGTTAGATATATCCAAATCAATAAAATATGGAACTTGGAACTCCCTAAACTGGTGAGTGTACTACATTGTCAGAGATGCCATCCTTCAGATGAGACATTAACCCTAGGTTCTGTCTGGTTGAGGTGGACATTAAAGATCCCATGTTGCTAATCAAAAACAGAAGGAAATTTCCCCTGGTGTCCAGGATATCAATCCCTCACATAATATTGCTCACTCTCTTCAAGGCTGTGTGCGCAAATTGGTGATTGCATTCACTCATAAAAGTATATCCCGTGAAATGCATTGGGATGTCTCTTGATGTTTAAAGGTACTATACCAAATGTAAATATTATTATAAAATGTAGTTCGTCGGAAGCATCAATAGGAATTCAATTGGATTCTTAACAGAGGATTCTAACTGTTCTATACACAGGGATTAAATCAATATATGGTACCTGAATCCCAAAAAGACCATCGTTCCCTAAAGATCAAAAGTCAGGGAGTAGTGATCACCAGGATGGGAAAGGAAACACTTGCTGCGGTGGCAGATGAGGAAACAATGGAAAAAGTGGAAAAAATGCAGTCTTTTTACCCTCGGTGAGTAGCAAATCATAGCTTAAATGTTACACATTGAGTTTATGAGGGGCTTTGATAGAATAAATAAGGAGAAACTGTTTCCGTTGGTGGATGGGTCAGTAACCAGAGAGCGCAGATTTAAGATAATTGGCAAAAGGACCAGAGGGGAGATAAGGAGAATTTTTTTTTTACCCAGAGTGTTGTTACAATCTGAAATGCACTGCCTGAAAGGGTGGCGGAAGCAGATTCAATGATAACTTTCAAAAGGGAATTAGATAAGTACTTGAAAAGAAATCTTTCAAGGCTATGGGGAAAGAGAGGAGTTTTGGACGAATTGGATAGCTCTTTCAAAGAGGCACAATGGGCCAAAGGGTCTCCTCTATGCTGTAAGATTCTATGGTTGTATAATTCTAACTGGTACCAAGTGAGAGTACATGGACAGAGCTTTTAGCAATGGAGATGAATAGGACCAAGACGCCTGCTCCTTTTGATGCATCAATCTGACCCATCAACCTTCTAGTCTAGGGGTGGAAATTCCGTTCCAACAAATCTTGAATTCAGTCATAATTTCGGAAAACATTTTATGGGGAACCTACTTCCAAATCGAGAACTAAATCTAAGAATGTTTTCCAAATTCTGTTCTGACCAATCTTAAGTTTTAAGAAAAAAATGGTTTTGCAGGTCTTCACTGGAGTTTTGAATTCGGAATTTGAACCTTGTTAAAATGGCTTGAACGTATCCCCTAGTCGTTCACGCAGCTTCTTATCCACCCCTGAGCAGAAAGTCACAGGTTCAAGAAACAAGGATTACTTTACTGTCTAATTGAATTCTTTGTGGTTGGGTGATGGTTGTAAGTTTCTGGTCATGCTTCTGGAAGGAGTACTATACATAAATCCATCTGCTGCTGCCTTTGATGATGCCTTGGGGTCCAGCCTTGACTGTGAACTTTGCATGGAGGTGAACACACAGCAGCAAGTAAGCCTGCCATCCAGTAAGGAGCAAGGAGAGGGAAGTATAAGAGAAAGGGTAATGCAGCAGACTCTGGCCTGCTCCAAGTTTCCCCGCTCTACCCTCCCCACCATTGGGGGGGCAGGCCTTAAGCCTTTCTGCCCCCACCCTTTGGAACTCCATCCCACATTCCTTTCACCTCGCCCCCTCCCTTGCCTCCTCCAAGACCTGTCTCAAGACCTTCCTCTTTGACTGCAACGTCAGTTAGCCTCTTCCCCCCACCCCTCCTGATCCCAAACCCCAGCTCAGGTGTAAATCCTTTACTGTCCAGGGCCTTTGGGTGTCCTCCTAACTGAAAGGTGGTATACAAATGTAATTTGCTGTTGTTGTTGCAGGAGAGAGGGGAGCACGGGAAACAGTGGGAGACTAGTAGAGAGAAAGAGTGGGTGGGAGTGCGGGAGAGATTGTGGGAACATAAATAGGAGTGCAGGAGAGAAGAGTGGAGAGCAGGAGAGAGAAAAGAAAGGGTAAAGTGTAGATGAGTGTGGGAGAGTGGGAAAGAGACGGACAAAGCTGTGTGCAAATTGGCTGCTGCGTTTGTCTTCAGAATACATAGTGAATATACTTTGCGGAAACTTTGTGAGGTGCTTTGAGACATCAATGACTCATTTAAAAATCAGGCTGCGATAGGAGGATGGAAAGGTGGATTTTCAGGAAGGATGAGATCATTGTTATTGGGCGCTACACCAAATGCAAGGACTCTTACAGGAGTTGCTTTCTTTTCCTTGGTTTCCTAGTGACGAAAAGCTCTGTGAGTATTTTCTGGAAAAGAATTCCTGGAAAATCTTCAAAAAGGACTTAGTTGCCCACCTCGCCAAGAAGTCTCACCAGCACATCTCACAGCCCAAGTGCTCCTGGAAGAAGCAGGAAGAGACTGTGTACGACGTCGACAAAACTGGCATCCTCAACCTCCCCGCTATCGCTAAGCAGCCAGTCACTGCCTTCTTGAAGCCTTCCTATTACATAGCGTCGGTAAAGAGCGAATTAGAAGACTCCAGTCATGAGGTGCCCGAACTCCGCCTTATTCACGGCATCGCAATGACCCGCCCGCCCTTGAAGCGTCTGTAAAAGTCACCATTTCCGATCCCTCTCAGTGTCACTACTAGTTGGTCATTTGCTACAATTTCTGTGACTCACTAGAGGAAATTGTGAAAGGATTTTTGCCTCTCTTTGATTTGAGGTTCTCTTCTCTCCACTCCTCACACACACACACACACACACACACACAAACATTTACACATTTGGGCTCTTAATTTGCCCTCATCCCCAGCCACATTCTCACTCAAACCCCCACCCTCTCACCCACACACCTCACCCCCACCCTCGCCCAAATCCTCACTCAAACGCTCACCCCCATTTTCACCTAAACTTTCACCCCCACTACACTCCCACTCTGCCCCCCCCACCCTCACCCAAACCCTCACCTTCACCCAAATGCTAATCCCCACCCTCACCCAAACTCTCACCCCTACTCAACCCCATCCTCACCCCCACTCTTACCCCCACTCAGACAATGAAACCTTTCTGTTTCTGTTACCAACCACATCCTTCTGAGCTGCATCTCCCACCTCTGAAAAAGAAGCAAACATCCATTGAATATGATTAAGAATGGAGAAGTGGGCAGTAGGTCTCTCCCTCCTGAGCGACATTTATAAGAGACTTCTTTAAGGAAGACCCTGAGAGAAGTCTTCTCTGTTTTTAGGTGCAGTAAACAAATAAAGAACTGCCCTTAGTCGGTGCAGACACAGCCATACTCGTGTGTGCAGGTTCTCTCATTTATAGTTAGAGAAACCAGGTGGAGTCTAAGCCTTGATACAGTTATGGGACTGGAATTGATATAGGTACCTCCATTCTACTGAGATGATGCCAATCCTGGGATAAGAAGGCAAACGAGGACCGGCTGTGACTTCCTCCATTGCCGGGATCGTCGTGACGTGCTCTCTGTTACCAGAGTCACTGTGATTCCCTCCCTTCCCTATTACAGCTTAGAGGTCATGAGCTCAAGTCCCCTTGTGGAACTTAAATGCACAATCCTCTGACCATGATCAAAAGTGCTATCTGAGCCAGGCACAAAACAATGTCAAAATCGCCCATCTCAAGGTGTTTCTCGCTTCCCTTTATTGTGGTTTGACAAGTATCTCAGCAACAATTCACCTCTTTCTGACCCAACTCGGACCCCTCCTTACCTCCTGCTGCTGACAATCAAACTCAAACACTGGTGGATGCCACAAGCTTAACTATCAAAATACTCGTAGCCAACAATCCTACAGATCAATTGAGACAGGAATATTAGTCAGGAAGCCAGGATCAAATAATAGTATTCACCTCATAGCTGTTTGTGGGATCTTCTCTTGCACAAATGGCTGCCCCATGTTTGCCTATGAAAACAGTCACTAGACTTGACAGTAATTACCTATGAAGGAAGGGATTTGAGACATTGACAATCTAGATGCTACAAAATGCTTCTCTCTCTCTCTCGCTCTTTTATTTCTTAACCTGACACAAGCTTTACAGTGCATAATAATAACAGAGACAGTTTACTACCACATGACTGGCTGGCTTCAGCTGTGCAAAGAACAACCACTTAGAACAGATTCAAGCTAAATCGTAAAAGAAGCAGAAAAAATGCACAGACATTTGACAACAACTTGCACTCCATGCAGGGTAGCGTCTCAGAGCACTTAACAGTGGCGGAGCCTGACTCCAAGCTGGGGGGAAGGGGGAGGTGGTCGTAAGTACGGTTGATGAGAAAAGTTTTCAGGCAGGACTTGAAAGAGGGGAGAGAGGGGGCAAGGAGGAGGGATTGAAGGAGAGTGTTCCAGAGTTTTGGGGCATAGTGGCTGAAAGAGTGACCTCTGATTGTGGGGCCGAGGGTGCAATGGACGAGCAGGAGGCTGGTGCTAGTTGAGTGGAGGAGCCAGGTGGTGGATTGAGGAGTGAGGAGGTTGGAGAGGTAGGGAGGTGCCAGGGAGTGAATGGATTTGAACATGAGTGTGAGGATTTTGAAGTCGATTGGTTTGGTGATGGGGAGCCAGAGGAGCTTGGCCACAACTGGTGAGATGTGGGTATGGAGTTTGGTCCAGGTCACTATGCGGGCGCCAGAGTTTTGAATGAGCTGGATCTTTGGATGGTGGAGCTGGGGAGACTGGTGAGGAGTATGTTGGAGTAATCCAAGTGGTAGGTGACAAATGCATGCAAGACAATGGCTGCATTTGGGGTAAAGTACGGTCAGAGGTGGGCAATGTGGAAGAAGGCGGTCCTGATCAGGGACCAGATGTGGGTGAGGAAGGACAGCTGACTCCTCGGTTGCACACTCCCTCTCTGAGGGAGAGCTCAGGGAGGTTGAGGAGTTTAGATCCGCAGGAGTGAAGACCTTGATGGGAGCCAAAGAGTTTGGCTTCTGTCTTGTCCACATTCAGCTGCAGGATGCTTACACTCATCCAGGCCCTGATGTCTGCCAGACCAGCTGATAGAACATTGACAGACCTGGAGTTGGTACTGAAGGATGCAAAGTAGATTTGTGTGTCATCTGCACACATGTGGAAGTTTACCCCGTGTCTGCAGATGATCAGCAGCGCCCAGAGGGTGCATATAGATAAGGAAAAGAAGAAGGCGAAGGATGGAGCCCTGGGGTATCATGCAAGTGACTAGGTGGGGGTAGGAAAAGGAACCATTTGCCAAGATGAAATGGAGGCAGTTTGTTAAGTAGGACTCAAATCATGCGAGTGCGGTCCCATTGAGTTGGATGAGGGAGGAGAGCCAATGGAGGATGATGGCGTGGTCAACTGTATCGAACGCAGCAGAGAGATTCAGGAGGACAAGGAGGCAGAGGGAACCCTGGTCACATATAGAGAGAATGTGGTTTGTGACTTTGACAAGCGCTGTCTCTGTGCTGTGGGCAGGGCAAAAACCAAATTGCAGGTGCTTGAGGAGGGAGTGGAGAGAGAGGTGTGACTGAAGTTGACCTGCAACAATCCATTCCAGGACTTTGGCAAAGAAGGGTAGGTTGAGATTGTGTTGACCACGGTTAACGTAGATGAGAATTGAAGCTAAAACAAGTACGTTTCCTTATCCATCCAACAGTCCTACCTTCCTACTCACTACAAAACTGTTTTTTTAAACGTGGTGACTGGCCAAACTCAATCATTTGTGAGTCTAAGCCCTCTAATGTCCAACAGATCTGAGCCATCTGCAGAGTGGACGGTTGTTGTTATTGGCTTTCTCACCACATTGGATGAGTTATGACACAAGATATCTGAACAGGGAAGGCAGTGGGGGAGTGGGATGTGAACTCTTGATCTCTTTCCCATTAACACAATGTGCTGGAGAATGATAGGATCCTGGCCTTATGCCACACTATGTTTAATGTTTGCTCTCTACAGTAGAGGGCAGGAATGGAAGATGGTCAGAGGATGTAATGGGTATCAGTTTGGGACGAAGCCATCTCGTCATTGTCAGCAGTATATACAGGTATAGAAATATATCACAAGATTGATTCAGGTGAAGAAGACTCTTTGGTCCTATGTGTCTCATTCTTCCAGAATACCCATCCTCCCATCACAGCATCAAAATGTTTCTTAAATGAGTTCACCATCCTTGCCTCAACTAGCCTTCTTGGTAACCCCAATCCAAGAGTTAATTATCCTCTGGGCAAAGAAACGCTTCCCGGTGTCTGTTCTGAAATTGCCTTTGTAACCCTGATCCTTGTCATATTTGAATATATTGTTCCAGGTTTGCTTTCTCAATCCCATATGAAACTTGATATATCCTGGTATCACTGACAGTTCACAGCACAACAGGAGCCTATTTGGCTCACTGTGTCTACCATCCCACAAAATCCTCCCCCACCTTCATCTCTGATATCTCCACCCTCCTAGCTTCCCTCTGTCTCTGCTCCTGGGTGACTTCAAACTCCACTTCACCCCCTCCTGCTCCACCTCCTCAGACTTCTCCTCTCTCCTCTCCTCTCTCAACCTTTCCCTCCACATCTACTCTGCTACTCACACCCACAATTACCCACTCGACCCGGTGATCACCTGGGGTCTCAGTGTCTCAGATGTCACCATCACTGACAAGGTCATCTCTGACCACCATTTAATCTCCCTCAATTCCCATATCCCTCTCCCCTTGCCTCCAAACCTACCACCATCTTCTACCGCTGCCCTCTCCACTGCACTGGAGTCCTCTGAACTCCTCCCCCTCTGGTCCACCTCTCGCACCAACCCACTCGCTGCGCTTACTCTTCTCCACAGCATCCTCTCCACCACACTTGACGCCCTTGCCCCCCTCACCTCCCGAACTGCCTCCTATTCCTGATCTGGCTGGACCTCATCAAAATCTACCACTCCGCTCTTGCTTCAGCCAAATTGTCCTTCTATTCCAGATTAATCCTGGAGGTGAAGGGCAATCCCAGGCTTCTGTTCTCCACCACTAACTGGCTCCTCTGCCCTCCCCCCCATGTCTTGCAGATTCTTTCCCCTGACACTCACTGCGGGAAAATGCTGGACTTCCTCAAGTTGAAAATCGAGGGAATCTGCTCAGCTGCCACTGCCCCCCCAACTTCCATCACCTCCTAGTCCCACTCCACACTCCGACAATTATCCATCCCTCCTTCCACACCTTTGAACCTGTCACCCCCTCCACTGTCTTCACCACCATATCCTCCATGAAGCCCACCACCTGTTCCCCGGACCCCATCCCCAGCCCTCTCATTAAATCCCAGCTCCACCTCCTTGCCCCACTACACTCCGACATCATCAACTGCTCCCTGTCATCTGACACTGTTCCTTCCCCCCTCAAAAAGGCAATTATCAACCCCACCTTGAAAAAACCTTCCTTTGACCCATCACAGCTATTGAGCTACCGGCCCATCTCAAACCTCCCTTTCCTATCCAAGGTGCTTGAGAGAGCCGTTGCCTCCCAGCTTCGCTCTTTCCTCTCCTCCCACTCGCTCCATGAACCCCTCCAATCAAGTTTCAGTGCTGCCCATAGCATGCAAACTGCTCTGGTCAAGGTCACAAACGACATCCTGACCATGTGCAACCAGGGCTCCCTCTGCCTCCGTCCCTCGTCCTCCTCGACCTCTCCGCCGCCTTTGACATCGTGGACCATTCAATCCTCCTCCACTGCCTCTTCTCCCACCTCAACCTTCAAGGTTCTGTCCTTGACTGGTTCAGGTCCTACCTTTCACACCGCCTCCACTTCGTCACAGCAAACAGCTTCTCCCCCAGCCCCCGCACCGTCTCGTACGTTGCTCCTCAGGGCTCTGTCCTCGGTCCCCTCCTCTTCATCC